CCTCCTCCTCCTCCTACCTCCTCCCTCCTCCTCCTCCTCCTCCTCCTCCTCCTCCTCCTCCTCCTCCTCCTCCTCCTCCTCCTCCTCCTCCTCCTCCTCCTCCTCCGCCTCCTCTTCTTCCTCCTCCTCCTCCTCCCGCCCGCGCCGTACGGCGTCGAGGGGCGTTCGCGGCGCGCTGGTGGCCCCAGAAGACGACGGCTGCGACGTCGACGGCGACGGCGACACCGACGGCGGCCATTGCGGCGGCGATGACGACGACGACGACGACGACGACGACGACGACGACGACGACGACGACGACGACGACGACGACGCCGACGCCGACGCCGACGCCGACGCCGACGCCGACGCCGAACGCCGACGGCCGACGGCCGACGCCGGACGCCGACGCCGACGACGACGACGACGACGACGATGACGACGACGGACGGTCTGTGACGGTCTGTTGACAGGCGCCGCGCACCCCCGCGCGGGCGCGGGGCGCGCGCGCGTGGCCTCACCTGGGCAGACCCCGCCCCCAGGGACGGGCCTCGCGGAACCCTCCGAGGGTAAGCCCTCCTCTCCTCCTCCTCCTCCTCCTCCTACTCCGCCTCCTCCGTCACCTCCATCCTCCTCCTCCCCTCCTCCTCCTCCTCCCCCCCTTCCCCCTTCCGTCTCCCTCCTCCCTTCCTCCCTCCTCCTCCTCCCTCCTCCATCCTCCCTCCTCTCCTCACTCCTTCCTCCTCCTCCTCCCCCTCTCCTCCTCCTCCTCCTCCTCCTCCTCCTCCTCCTCCTCCTCCTCCTCCTCCTCCTCCTACCCCTCGCATCCCTGCCCCTGCGGCGCATGCTTAGCGACTTGCGCTGGCCAGCCTCGTTCGAAAAGCGTGAACGAGGCCCTCCGAGGCCCTTGCATCCCTACCGCGCATCCCTCACTACACGGGTTGACTGTATCCCTGCTGTCACGGCTGGGCTCGCTACACGGAAGAGTGACCTTTTCGTTGGAGCGACCTTTTGGTGCGGGCCCAATTGGGTCCCCCGATCGCTGAACGCGAGGCGGTGGCAGCGGCGTGCGCGCCCAGGTTTGGCCACCCCGCGTCGCCCGTGAAGTTGCGCACCAAAGGTCACTCTTGCCCAGGGTCACTACCGTGTAGCCGATCCCTGCTGTCACGGCTGGGTTCGCCCGGAGATTCCTGGTTTGAGGGCGCTCATCCGGTAGCAAATCATGGGAGCCTGGTATACCCTCTTAAGTCAGTCTTTAGCGTCGACTGGCGTCGATTAGCGTCCGGGAGTCGATGAGATAGCGCCGATCTCGCGTCGGCTAGCGTTGATTAGCGTCGATTTAGCATCGATAAGCGTCGACTAGCGTCGATTTGCGTCGATTCGCAAGAGCTGGCAAGAGTGTATGAGAGGCCCCCATGAGTTGCCACAGAACGCTCACGGGCAGGGCCAGCGGCGGTCGAGCCGGAAGCGGGCATCTCGAGCCTTCCCCTCCTCCCCCTCCTCTCCTCGCCCCCCCCCATGTCCCAGGACCTGACCATCCAGATCCTGCGGCTCCTGGACATGCCGGTCGCCCCCGGGCCCCCGCGCGACGCCTGCGGAACGAGCCTCTGGTGGACCCTTCCTCGCCCCTCCCTCTCTCCTCCTCGCCCTCCATCCCCCGACGAGGAGGACAGCGCCATGGCCGCAAGCGTTCGGAGCTCCGCGAGGCTCTCTCGGGGATCGGCGCCTGGGCCCCCCGAGGCGGCGCCTCCCGCGGCGCGCTCCTCGCGCCACGGAGGGGCGTCGAGCGCCAGTCCGAGCAACCAGCGCGGACCTCCGAACGCTCGTGTTTGCCTGCTCCTTCCGATGCGATCCAGTGGCCTGATGCTCATCCTGACACCTCGCTTGGGTCGTGGCCGGGTGGTCCAGTGGAGGCCTCTTGGGGGGCCTCTTGGGGGGCCCCTCTGGGGGCGCCTCTGGGGCCCTCTGGGGGGCCTCTCGGGGCCTCTTCGGGCCGCCCTGGCTGCCTCTGCAGCGCCCAGCGCCTTCGGGCCAGGGGCCCATGCTTGCATGAAGTCGGGCCTGTCCGTCTCCAGGAAGACTATTCCCAAAACGTCCAAACATCGTCGGGGGACCACGCTTCGACTACTTTGGGCCCTTCTTGCGCGTGTGTGCTGTGGTCCAGGCTCCGCCTGGAGGGGGGCGTGCCCGACCTGATGCCGGCAGAGCGTCGCGCCCCCCGCGGACGGTGCCCTGCGGAGAGAAGAGTCGGGTGCTGCTGGAAGTGCCCCTGGCCCCACGGTGCCCCCAGCTTTGGGCTCCATGCTGGAGCCCCAGGGGGTCACGGCGCCAACATCGCAGAGCGGAGTTCGTTTGGAAAACGGTGGGATGGGCCTGGATTATCCTGGAGAGTTGCGTCCCGGATTTCGAAGTGAGTTTCGTGCGGATTACTTTTGGCCAGGAATGAAGACTACAGACAATCCACGTGAAGTTCATCTTGCTTTTTTAGCTTGCCGTTATCGTGGTTCGCATTGACAGAAATCCAAGCGAAAATCTGCTGCAAGGTCGGTGCAGTGACCTGGGGCGCTCTCGGCCTCTTGAAGGGCGCTCTGGAGGCCGTGTGGGCCACCCCAGGGGTCCTGGGGGCACCTTGGGCCAGGGGCACTGCTAGCAAAACCCGACAAGAAGCGAACGCGAACTGCCAGGGCTTTCCGGCCAGTGCCGCAGACCCTGACGGGGACAACGACGACGACCTTGACAGGCTCGAGGAGGAGGAGGAGGAGGAGGAGGAGGAGGAGGAGGAGGAGGAGGGTGCAGGGCAAGGGGACGACGGAGACGACGACTGACGGTGATGACGACCCGAACTGACAAGCCCCTCACACACGCCGTCGGTGTCGGCGGAGCAGGGGCCCGGCCCACACCTGCCGATACAGGGGAGAGGGCTGTGGCGGAGCCTCGGCCCCGACCTGCCGATCGGCTCACGGCTGCGCCGCTCGTCACACTGCGGCGTGCCTGTCCCGGAGGACGGGTGTCACCCCAGGACACTTCAGGGCACCCTCCTCCTTCCTTCCCCCTCTCCTCCTCCTCCCCCTCCCCTCCCCTCCTCCCCCTCCTCCTCCTCTTCCTCCTCCTCCTCCTCCTCCTCCTCCACGACCCCCTTGTGCGCACCGCCGAGAAGGGTCGCCCGCGCCAGAGACGGGTTTAGGGTTTAGGGTTGGGGGGCGCAGCAAACGGGGGTACGGGGAACGCCGATTTCCATGTTTGGCTATGCCCCCGTTTAAGGGGGCCCTGGGCGCCGTAGGCGGGGGCACAGCAGACGGGGCAGATGGAAAAGCCCAAGCCCCAGTTTAGCTAAACCCCCATTCACAAAGCCCCGAGGCACGCGGGAAGCATGGACTCCTGGCTGTGCTCCCGCGGCTTCGGGCAGTCGCCATGGGGGACACGCGCTTCGCGGGAGAAGCGGGCCCGGAGCTGCGTCGCCGCTCGCGGGCTCCCGGGACCCTCCGCGGCCCCCTGGCCCCGCAGAAAACGACGCGGGAGGAAGAGCTCGTCCTGGGGGAAGGCTGGGGGGTTGCTTCGAAGGGCGTAGGCGACCCGTCCTCCTCCTCCTCTCCTCCTCCTCCTCCTCCTCCTTCATCTCCTCCTCCTCCTCCTCCTCCTCCTCCTCCTCCTCCTCCTCCTCCTCCTTCATCTCCTCCTCCTTCTCCTCCTCCTTCTCCTCAGGTCGCCTACGTCCATGGGGGCAAGCCGTGCAGGGAAGGCTCCAGGGTCCAGGACCCGCTTCAGTAAACCACCGCAACCCAACCCGAAGGCCTCAATTTGCCTTCCTTTTCCAGTTGGAGGGGGGGTCGGGGAACATTGAAAAAAAACTCCCATGAAGCCCGTACCCCCCCCAAACCCGAAATTCGAAATTCGGGTCTTCGGGTTTGGTTGGGGTGATCTGGCAGGTAGTCACCCACTGAGGAGTTCGAGCATTTCGGGAAGCCGCCAGGGAGGTCCAGCGCCGATCCAAGGAATTCGCGCAGGGCTCCGAACGGGATCTGTTTCTGCATGTCTGGGTGGGGACACTCAACGCCTTGGCGCCGACGGCCTGGCGGAGGGTAGACCTTCCCAACATGGGGCTATCGCTCGAGACCTTTCGAAGTGTAAGAGCGATGCGGGGGCCTCGCCTGTCTGGCAGGCCCATGCGGTCTCATTTTTCTTAGGGGGTGCTACCCATAGTAGTACGGAGTGTCTTTAGGGACTGCGGTGACGACGCGAAGGTGGAGGGTGCATTGCAGCGTCGTTGCTGCATCCTTGATTTATTTATCGTCCCTCTTTGCCTCCTGCACATAGTCAGCCTCTCGTCCCCATCTTCCTCGGCATTTGTCTATGTAATACCCACGTATTCCCTGTATTATTCCTGCTTGCTTCTCTTCCGGCGACAGCGGCAAGAAAGGACGACAATGATGCCGACATGCGCACGACGATGATTTTGTTGCTCTCGGGCATGCCAGTCGTCAGTGCCCCTCGACAGACCCGTCTCTGGCGACGCGCCTTTCCTCAGGTCCTCCCGTCGTAGAGAAATCACGACGGACGTGTGTGCCACCGTTTTTTCTGCCCCTCTTCTTCCCCCCTCCTCCTCCGTTCTCCTCCTTCCTGCTGCCTCCCCCTCCTCCTGGCCCCCCTCTCTCTGTGTTCTATCTCTCTTTTTTTGTTTTTCTCTCTCTCTCTCTCTCTCCCTCTCTCTCTCTCTCTTTCTCTTCGCGCGAGCCGCCTGGAGGATGGCAATCGCGGGGAGCAATGTCCAAGTGCGAGACGCGTGATACAGTGGAGACCCATGCCAAGAAACACCCTGCTTGCCTCCAGGGTGCCCTGGCTTTCTTGAGTTCCAATGGTTGTGCGACGGAAAGCGTGACGGTCCCACAGCAAAAATCGATGGACGCCCTGGGGTCTCAGTGCTGCGTTTCTTGTGGAAGGTTTTTTGTGGTCGGTCCCCTACTGCAGCGTGGCTGTTTGGCGAAGCCAGAGCCTCGGCGCGGGCGGTGCGGGCACCACAGAATCGGCGGAGGAGCGCGGAGCGCACTCCTCGTGTGTGTGTGTGAGTGTGTGTGTGTGTGTGTGTGGTGTGTGTGGTGTGTGTGTGTGTGTGAGTGTGTGTGTGTGTGTGTGTGTGTGTGTGTGTGTGTGTGTGTGCGGGGCACCTCGTCCAGAGCTCGTGCAGCAAAGACAGCGCAGCCGGGCATGCTGCGTCCTACCCCCTTGAGATCCGACGTTACAAAAAAAAAAAAAACATCTCAGACAAAACTCCCTCGCAGAGCCCTGGGCCCCGTCTTTCTGCGTCATTTTTTGAGCCGGATGGATTTGTGAGCGTCTCGGGGCCCGGAATTCACTGAAAACGCCCGTTGTGAAAAAATTGCAACGCCAGGATCTCAGGGTCCTCGCATTCCCTTTCCCCCCTCCCTGATCCACTCTCCCTCCTCCCCTCGTTCTCACCCTCGCTGCTCCTCCTTCTGCCTCCTCCTCGTCCTCGTCCTCCTCTTCCTCCTCCTCGTCCTCGTCCTCCTCCTCCTCTTATATCCTCCTCCTCTCCTCCCTACTCCTCCTCCTCCTCCTCCTCCTTCTGGGGAGGGTCGGGGGGGAGGGGGGGGCGGAGGAGGGAACGAGCAGAAGGGAGGAGAGAAACGGAGGAGGACGAGAGGAGGGGAGGAGGAGGAGGAGGAGGAGGAAAGGGGAGGAAGGGAGAGGAGAGGAGGAGGAGGCGGAGGAGGAGGAGGAGGAGATGGAGGAGGAGGAGTAGGAGGAGGAGATGGAGGAGGAGGAGTAGGAAGAGGATGAGGAGGAGGAGGAGGAGGAGGAGGAGGAGAAGGAGGAGGTGGAGAGGGATGAGGAGGAGGATGAGGAGGAGGAAGAGGAGGAGGAGATGGAGACGGAGGATGAGGAGAAGACGCAGCAGAAGCAGGAGGAGGAGGAGGAGGAGGAGCATCAGCAGCAGCAGGAGCAGGAGGATGGACATGACCCAGAACAAGGAAACACGAGGAGGAGGAGGAGGAGGAGGAGGAGGAGGAGGAGGAAGAGGAGGAGGGCGCGGCCGCGGCGGCGGCGGGAGCGTCCCCCCCCACCGCCACCCCCCCTCCGCCGCGCGGCGAGGTCTCCCGGACGCTGATCGGGCACGACAAGAGCTACAAGGCCTCGGCCCGCCCCCCCAGAGGGGGAAGTATAGAACGAGAGAGAGAGAGAGAAGGCAAGATAGCAAGAAACCACACCAAGCAATCAAACCGATTCCAAGAGAAAGCGAGAAGGGAAGATAGAAAGACCACGCACCAAGCGATCAAACGGACTCCAGCAGATCAACGTGCCCCACGAGAGCGTTCCCCGACCCGTCCCAGCTTTTCCCCTTGCCGGGGGGGGGGCAGGGGGGGGGGAGCGTGGATGAGCAGGGCGACGAGGCAGTGGGCAGCCGGAGCCCTGCCTCCGATCAGGCACTGTGGGTGGCACGCTGCGGCCGGAGCGCAGGGCGCCTTCAGAGTGCGCTTCGGTGGACAGGCGCTGCTGCGGTGTCTGCGCCCGTATAGGGAGCGCCTGGCATTAAGTCGGGTTTGTGTTTTTACGGGGTGAATTTTCAAAAATAGTCAACATATAGTCTGACGACAGGAGGAATACGCAAAAATAGTCAAAAAGCATTATGTCGATGATGTTTCGACTATCGGGGGGCATTTTTGGCGCATGTTTTTGTTCCATTTCCGCCCAAAGTCCTTCTGTAGGGGGACATGCCCGACCTGAGCCTGGCAGGGGACGGCGCGTGGGAGGCTCTGGCCGCCCCTGGTGTCGCACCGGCTCTTCCCGGCACGGTCCCCAGTACAAGGACCCACGAGGAGGAGGAGGAGGAGGAGGAGGAGGAGGAGGAGGAGGAGGAGGAAGAGGAGGAGGGCGCGGCCGCGGCGGCGGCGGGAGCGTCCCCCTCGAGCCATGAAAGAGTCACGACGGGAGGCGTTTCGCAATTTTGGTCGCCCTTTGGGGAGCCCTTGCCGGGGCTCGGGACTGTCAAGCAACGCTTCAGGATGAAGCGCCGGTCCCGGGGAAGGGGTCGGAACTGCTGGGGATCGGCGTCAGGAAAAAAAATCATGACGTCGGGGGTCTGGGTCTGCGAGCGCCCCCCAGCGCGGGCGTCGCGAGTGCGGAATGAAGGGCCGCCAGAGAGAAGCGAGAAGCGAGAAACGAGCGGGAGGACGGGGAAGGGGAAAGCTACGGTAGGTCCGTGGCGTGTCGACCGGCGGCGACCCCGCCGCCGGCGTTCAACGTTGATGAGCGCAGCCGGCGACCCAAAATCGGTCGATGTTGAAGGATCTGGCTTTCCGGAGACGGCCGATCGTGCAGCGAGTCCCGCGGTGTCAGGATCCAGCACCGAAGTCGGCACGACACGAACCCGCCGTACAAGCCAGGCGCTGGAAGAGGGTCCGCTCTGGGCTCAGCAGGGGCTCGGGTCTTCGAGACGACCCTTCGACTCCTGTCGTGGAGCCTCTCTGTGGCCGGGGCCCGCCGTGGCTGGGAGAGCCACCCCGTGCCTCAGCGCGTGCTCCCTCTGTGGCAGCAAGGGGGCTGCAGGGGACCTGCGAGCACGAGGCGGGGGGCTTTGCCCGAGGCCACCCGGGGGAGCGATCTTCCGGAGCTTGCAGGCGGCCCCGGAGCCTTGCTGCCTTCAAGGGAAGAGAAGCCTCCTGGACCCGGCAATTGGCGTTGGCTAGCCGGCCCTGGGCGTTTACTAAACAGCCTTGCCCTCTTCGATTCCTTCTGTGGGTGCGTTTACCAAATGGCTTCGCTTGTCGGGGTGGAGGAGGATTTTTCCAAGGCCCGACCACAACGCTGTTTCGCTTGGCTTGGCCCCTTGTTTTGTTTTTCGTTTCGTGTTTCGTTGCTGTTTCGTTTCGTTTCTCGTTTTTGCTTTAACCGCCCCGGTTCGTCGTTCGTTTTCGCTTGGCACTGGCTTCGTTTGAAACCCTTGTTTTCAACGTCGGGCCTCGCTTCGTTTCTCGATGTGCACGCCATTTTGTTCTAAACATCGCTGTGGTCGGTCCCTGATGTTTCCCTTATATTCTCTTTGGATTATGTTTTGAATATGCTTAATTTTTCGCCCAAAATCCTCCTGTAGGGGGACAGGCCCGACCTAACCCTACCCTCTTCGATTCCTTCTTCGGGGGCGTTTCCTGAATGGCTTCGCTTCGTCGGGGTGGATCTTGTGGGGGGGGGGATGTTTTCCCTTCCATCCCCTCCCCCCTTCCCTCGGAAGCTGCCGCCCCTGGTGTGCGAGCGGCACCCCCGCGGCGGAGGGCCAGCCCGCGCCGCGCGCGGCTCGGCGCCGAGAAGGCCGCGCGGGACCGCCGCGCGAGGGGGTCGTGCGCAGCGGGGGGCGGCGCTCGGGCCGGCGACGAAGGGGCGGGGCCTGCCCCGGGGGGGCGAGGGCGTGGTTGGGGCCCGGCTCCGCTGCAGCAGAGGGGCGGCGAGGGGGGATTGCTCCTCCTCCCTATCCTCCTCCTCCTCCTCCTCCTCCTCCTCCTCCTCCTCCTCTCCTCCTCCTCCTCCTACTCCCTCCCCCTCCTCCTCCTCCTCCTTATCCTCCTCCTTATCCTCCTTATCCTCCTCCTCCTCCTCCTCTTCCTCCTCCTCCTCCTCCTCCTCCTCTCCGTTCGGGAGGAGCAGAAAGAAGGCATCTTGCTCTTCATCGTCCTTCATCCCATGGGGGTCAGGTGGCTGCGTCACTTCGTGTGGGCTCCGTGCCTTCCGTACAGCCGCAGGGAGGGCGACAGGGGAGCGCGCCTGTCCTGAATTCTGCCCCATCACCTCCTTCCCATAGGCATTCTGCGCCTCTTCCTGCCCTCAAGCACCTCCCACTGCCTGACATCACCCAACATCTACCAGCGCAGCAGACGCTTCGTGCTAGTTTCAGGGGATCCCCCCTGGAAGCCTATAAACATCAGACACACAAACCAAATACACAACCCGAACACATCAGGGAAACCATACCTGATCCTTCGTCCCTCAAGCATGCCTTCTTCTTACCGGGGTGAGGCTGCCCGACTGAGTTGGAGCTGTTGGTTCCGAAATGTGTGCTGCGGTGGAGCAGACCCATGCGCCCCAGCCTGCTCCTCAGGCGGAGGATGAAGATGAGCAGACGAGGAATCAAATATGAAAGCACCGGTAATAAATGTCTAGGTGGTGGAGAGGGAGGAGGACGAATGGCTGATAAGGAGCACGATCATGAGTGAGGACACTGAGGAGAAGGAGGAGGAGGTGGAGCAAGAGGAGGACTTTCCCATGCCGACGCGATCGAAAAGAGTCAGAGAGGAGAGAGTCAGAGAGGAGACGGAAATGGACATGGAGGAGGAGAAGGAGGAGGAGGAGGAGAATGAGGACCGCCCTTCTAGGCCTAATGTTTGTCGTTCCTGAGAGGTGGTCGCGATGGATTCCAAGAACAACAAGCTGGGAGAGACGGGTCCGATCGCTGGCATCGACGGCATGACAGTGTTTGACGGCGAGAACGAGACGCTCACGCTGACGCCCGAGGAGGACGGGCGCCGATGCTTCGGGGGGTGGAGGGGTGGTTGAGACTCTGAAAGGGAAGACGAAGGGAGATACTGATGATGATGCTGATGATGATGATGACGATGATGATGATACTAATGATGATGATGACGATGATGATGATGACGATGATGATGGTCATGATGATCATCATGATGATCATGATGATGATGCTGATGCTGATGATGATGTTGGTGGTGGTGACGATGCTGATGGTGATGGTGACGATGCTTGCGATGATGACGAGAAGGGTAACGAGGAGAAGGAGGAGAAGGCGGAGGAGGAGGAGGAGGAGAAGGCGGAGGAGGAGGAGGAGGAGGAGGGATGGATGATGGCGAGGGGGAGGAGGGGTCGGTCTGACGAGGCATGGCAGCAGTCGGTGTGTCATCCTACGCTGGGGTTTCAACGTTGCCAGAACCAACGCAGGGGCACGGTGTGCAACTCCTCCCGCCCGCCCCCATCGTGGGGGACCAGATGGGAGTAGGGAGCATGAGGAGGAGATGTCTGACCGATGTCTTGCAGGGAAGGAGGACGACAGGGACGAGGACGAGGAGGAGGCAGAAAGTGGATGGCGGAGAGAGGAGGAGAATTACGGCCTGCTGCTGCTGATGATGAGGAGAAGGAGGAGGAGGAGGAGGAGGAGGAGTTGGAGGAGTTGGAGGAGTAGGAGAAAGATGAAGAAGGAAATGAGGAGGAGAAGATGGGAGAGTGCAAGAGGAGTTGGGAGGAAGGGGTGAGGGAGATGGAGAAATAAGGCATTGAGGAGGAGTTGGAGGCCGAGGGTGAAGGTTCTAGGTGCCAGGGGATGCATGATGAAGGGGGAAAACAGCAAGGAGAGGAGGAGCATGAGGAGGAGTTGCAGGAGGAATGCTTAGTGGTCGAGGAAGCGGAGTGTCCAGCTGAAGGCTCGCTCACGGGAAGACACATCGCCTCAACATCGAGTCAAGCGTTTTGATTCCCACCAGCAGTGAGCAGGGGGATACGTACGACTCTGAGCGTGGACGACGGAAGTATAGATGTGGAGGGGGACGTAGATCAAAGCTTAGCCTTTCTTGTGCCTCCAGGGGACCTCCATAGACCCCTCGAAGGTTCCTGAGACCGCATCTGACTCCTCGGGATTGTTCCTTTGGGAATATCCGTTCTCGGGGGAACAGGCAATGGGTTTCAGCAGTGCTGGGTAGGACAAGGTTTCACTTAAGCCTGCCACCCTTGGTCGCTGCTGTCGCCCTGGGTACATCAAGCAGTCAGGCGCAGCACAGACGAGGAGGGGGACGCGGACGCTGATGAGGATGAAGGACAAGAGTAAACACAGTGGTCGTTTCTTGATTCACTGTTTTGCCAATCGGCGCGGGCCCTCGCATCCCCCCCTTCCCCCCCGCCATGGAGTGGATCTTGGGTGTTTCTTGGCGCCTGTTCCGAGCGGGTGGAGCCTCCAGAGGCAGCACTCTCGCACACAGTCGCACCAAGCAGAGGTCTGGAGCCAGGCCCCCCCCTCCCCCTCCCTTCCGCCCAATGCCGAAACGCCGAATAAAAAAGACGTTGACATAACACCCTCCCGTCTCGAGTACCACAAGGTCCGGCTTGAATAAGGAACACTTGCTTTTCAAAAGGGGATCAGGTCGTTCCTTTGGTTTGCATGCGTTCCGCTGTCGTTCTGGCGGCGAGCCCCCCTGGTGTTCCTTCGGGCCTCGTAGACTTACTCGGAAACGAAGAAGGGGCTTCGTTCCTTTCTGATCGTTCCTCAAGGCAGGACGAATACTGTATTTCACTAGCCCCCCGAAGCCTCCTCGCGAGGCCCCGGACACGCACCCCCCTTGGAATAACCGACGACCGGTGGGCCTGCCACGCTCTCAGGGCACGCCGCCCTGCAGAGGATCCGCCCTCCATGCTTCCAGCGCCAGAAGCAGGAGGGGACAAAACACACAGACACCATTCACTGTCGACCCCCAGGAGAATATGGGAAAGTGTGGGAAGTGTGGGGGGGGGGGGGGGGAAGACGCAACCCCGGAACATCTGGAAGAATATCGGGGACCCTGGGATGTGTGTGCATTTGTTTCTGTATCCCTGGGCCCCTTGACGCAAGCAGTGCAAAGAGGAGTGACGATAGATTCCGTGTCCAGCGGTAGCCCCGGTTTCTGCGAAGGATGCGTCATCCGTCCGTGTACGGGCTTCGGACAATTCTGAAGCTCTTGCAGCATAGGTTGCGAAGGTCTCGGGCGAAAGCTCCGTCCTGCAAAGCAGCAGCCCTCCATCCCTGGAACCGTTGCGCAGTTCATATGCCGGCCGTAGCGATTGTGGGAGGGTCATCATCTTGATTTTGATGGAATCTGAGCTCAAGCCAGAGCTGCACTCTGGTAGCGAACCAGCCTCAGTTTTCGCAGGTGTTCGAAGATTCATTCAAACACATCGGCGCGGTGCCCAAGCGAGACCCACATTGAAAACCAAGCACGACATGGCACGTCAATACATTCGCATTCCGAAAACCAGACAGGGCACAGCACGGCTAGAAAATCAGGCAGGGCGCGGCATCCTTGTTCGCATTCTGATAACCATGTCTGGCAAGGCGCTGCACGGCACATGTGAGGCATTCAGAAAACCGAGTGCGGCACGGCAGGTTTCTTCTTGTTGCGTGCTTGACCACCAGGCACGGCACACCACAGGACGACAAGCCGTGCACAGTCTGCGAGCCAGCGTGCTGTGCGTGCCGTGCCGTTTTTTACTGCCGGGCACCGCGGCGCGGCACTGCACATGGTTTCGCACATTTTGACAACCAGGAGCGGCACGCCAGCGCGACCGGCACGGCACGCGTGTCGCATGCTGAGTACCAGGACCAGGCACGGCACGACACCGCAGTTGCCGTAGGGTGCTGCGACGAGCAGGCACGGCACGCCACGGCAGATGCCTCGCATTTTCTGCCGAGGGAACAAAAAACGGGCACGGCACGGCACCGGTTTCGCATCCCGCAGGCCGTGCGCGGCACGGACCGGCACGGCAACTGAGTCGCAGTGTGACAGCCGTGCAGGGCACGGCACGGAAAATTGGTTCGCAGTCTGGGCACGCGGCGCGGCAGACCACGGGGCACGGCATGTCACGCACCGTTCGAAAGCCCCGGCACGGCATGGCACGTCGCGACCAGTCTTGGCACGGTGCGGCTTGATGCTTGCTGCCTTCTGAGAGCCAGACACGGCTCGGCACGGCATGGCACAGCAATTTCCCCTGGAGCGAAGATAGAACGCCCGACCACTTTGGCCAGGCCTGCAGATTTGCCCAGTGGGGAGAGAGGGGGTGTCGTTCATAAGATGGAGGGATGGAAGGCCACAACAGAAGGATACACCAACGATGCTGCGATACACATCTCTCCCTAAGCCCCCGCTCAGGCAAGCCTCAGTTGTGTAAAGGGTCCACCATCCGTCCTTATAGCTGTGAGAAGCGCAAATAGGCAGGATATATAGCACCCCGCAATTGCGGATAAGAGTGAGGGGGCGGGCGCGGGCGACGCGGGCGTCGTCAAGCCGGCGGACCTCGTGGCCCCCACCTTCCTTGTCGATAGCCCTCTCCTCCTCCTCCTCCTCCTCCTTCTCCTCCTCCTCCTCCTCCTCTTCCTCCTCCTCCGCCTCCTACTCATCCTCCTCTTCCTCGTCCTCGTTCTCATCGTCATCGTCGTCCTCCTCCTCCACCTCGTCCTCCTCCTCCTCCTCCGCTTCTTCCTCGTCCTCCCTCTCCCCCCCTCGTCCTTCCATCATCGTCCTCCCATTGTCGTCATGTTCCTCCTCGTCGTCCTCCTCCTCTTCCCCCCCTCCCGATCCTCCACCCTCCTCCTTTTCGTCGTCGTCGTCGTCGACGTCATCGTCGTCGTCCTCCTCCTGCCTCCTCCTCCTCCTGCTGCTCCTCCTCCTCCTCCTCCTCCTCCTCCTCCCCCTCCTCGTCCTCCTGCAAAAGCAGCCCGCCGCAGGCGCCGAAAAAATTGGTTTGTACACTGAACGTGGTTTGGGTCGCGGGTGGGCCGCGGGTTCTCCACCGGGAACGAATGCAAAAGATGCTCGCCGCAGGCGCCGAAAAAATTGGTTTGTACCCTGAACGTGGTCGCGGGTGGGCCGCGGTCTCTCCACCTAGAACGATTCAAAAGATGCCCGCCGCAGGCGCCGAAAAATGTGGTTTGTACCCTGAACGTGGTTTGGGTCGCGGGTTGGTCGCGAGTTGATCGCGGGGTGGGTCGCGGGCTCTCCACCTGGAAGGAATGCAAAAAAAGCCCGCCGCAGGCGCCGAAAATGTTGGTTTGTACCTTGAACGTGGTTTGGGTCGAAGGTGGGTCGCGGGTGGGTCGCGGGGTGAGTCGCGGGTGGGTCGCGGGTGGGTCGCGGGTGGGTCGCGGGCGGGTCGCGGGTGGGTCGCGGGGTGGGCCGCGGGCGGGTCGCGGGGTGGGTCGCGGGTGGGTCGCGGGTGGGTCGCGGGGTGGGCCGCGGGGTGGGTCGCGGGGTGGGTCGCGGGTGGGTCGCGGGTGGGTCGCAGGGTGGGTCGCGGGGTGGGTCGCGGGGTGGGTCGCGGGGTGGGTCGCGGGTGGGTCGCGGGTGGGTCGCGGGTGGGTCGCGGGTGGGTCGCGGGGTGGGTCGCGGGTGGGTCGCGGGGCGGGTTGCGGGTGGGACGACGACAACAAACAACAACAAACAACAACAACAACAACAAACAAACAAACAAACAAACAAACAAACAAGCAAACAAACAAACAAACAAACAAACAAACAACAACAACAACACGAATCCGCATCGCGGAATCTCACTTCAGCCACGCACCCAGGGACAATGAATGACCGTTCGGCCCCCTCACTATGAATAACATGCAAGGAAGTGTTCAGTGACAGCCTCTCGTTTTGAAGCATATTCGACATCACTCTGGAATAGTGTGCACGCTTTGAGTTTCTGATCGCTGATTGTGAACCAGTCCCAAAATCGAGGGATGCATTTTGACATCGAACTCGCCTCCATCCCTGCAGCTGCCAGGTTGTGTCAATGATGTGCTCGGCGCGAGTGCAAATTGTGAAAATGCCCTCCCATCTGTGCAACTGATGGAAGCGTTCAACACGAATGCGTGCGTCGCTAAGGCGAGAGCGGCATTTGGAAAGCGATCGGCCCTTCAGCCAGGGAGCTCTTGGAGCTTGTAAGCTATAGGATAAAGCACCGCAGCGAAGTCTCAAGCCACATGTCCAGGCATACCTATGGACCCGTCTGGTGAAGCGACAGAAGGGGTGGTTGATTGCAGGAGCACGATGCGGGGAAACGGCGATGAGAAGAGCAGCGGCTCGCAGGGCACACTTCGTTTGAAGACCCGCTCCTCGCTCATCATGCTCTTCGTGCAGTACGTCGGGGGCATCAGCCAGCAGTTCATCGGAAAGTGCAAGATCCACAGGCAGGACCCGCGCTCAACGCAGGTGCGACCACACGAACCCCCGTTCCCTGGAGGAGGAGGAGGAGGAGGAGGAGGAGGAGGAGGAGGAGAAGGAGGAGGAGGAGGAGGAGGTGGAGGTTGAGGAGGAGGAGGAGGTGGAGGAGGAGGAGTGGAATGCGCAACCGGACAAGAAGGAAAACGAGTTACAGGAGGAATAGGAGGAGGAGGAGAAGGAGGAGGAGGAGAAGGAGGAAGAGAAAGAGGAGGAGAAGACGAAGAAGAACAGGGAGAAGGAGGAGGAGGAGGAGGAGCAGGAGGAGGAGGGGAGTAGGAGGAGGGGGCGGAAGCGGACGAGGAGGAGGAGGAGGAGGAGGAGGAGGAGGGAGAAACGGCAGCGCTACCACCAGAGGGGCCACCCCCAGCAAGCAGGTCCACGAGGAGGAGGAGGAGGCAGAGGAGGAGGAGGAGGAGTGGAATGAGCAACCGGACAATGAGGGAAAAGAGTTACAGGAGGAGGGGGAGGAGGAGGAGGAGGAAGAGGAGGAGGAGGAGGAAGAGGAGGAGGAGGATGAGGAAGAGGAGGAGGAGGAGGAGGAGGAGGAGGAGGAGGAGGAAAGGAAGAGTAGGAGGAGGAGGAGATGGAGAATGACAATTTCACCCGAGATTCCCAATCAGTGGATGGCTTTCGCTGAGGAGATCGACCAGGAGCCCCCGAGCCTACCGAAAAATCGGCCCGAAGCGGCGGCGCGGGCGACGTCTTCCTCTTCCGCGCCCGGACCGGACAATTGGCGTTCACTAAACGGCGTTGGGCGTTTAGTGAAGGGTACGAGGAGGGCGACGCGGCGGCGCAGGAGACGTCTTCTTCTTCCGGGCCCCCCCCCCCTCTCACGCTGCCCGCACCGCTGCGGCAGCCGGCGGCGGCCGCGTGCCGTGCGGACCCGAATCAGCAGGGGAAAAAACACACAGACACAATGAGTCGTCGATTCCCATGAGAATATGGGAAAATATGGGAAGTGGGGGAAGACAAAAACGATGAACATGTTGGAAACTATGGGGAATCTTGTCATTTGTGTATATTTATTTGTGTGTCCCAGGGCCCCTTCACCGAAGAGCCGACGGCTCGAAGCTCCGATGATGATGCTGGTGGGCACGCATCCCCCTCCAGTGTAGGGTCGTTTGCTCCGTGCTGACATCGGCATCATCCTCGGAGGGCTGCGCCGTCGTCCTCCTCACACACCCCTCTTCCTCCTTCTCCCCTCGTCCTCCTCCCTTTACAGTTTCGTCCTCCTCCTCCTCCTCCTCCATCCCTTTTCCTTGTAAATAATTTCTCTCCGTCGCACCCCGAGGCTGGTCGAAAGGCCCTTCTCATTCCTTCGTGAGCTCTCCTCATGGTAGCACAGTGCCTGTACGAGGCTCCTTCGTCGGTGTCCTTGATCCTGTTTTGGCCAGCCCTCCCGCGTCGGGCGAAGCACTCTTGCCTCCTCGTCATTCCTCCTCCTCCTTCTCCTCCCCCTCCTCCTCCTCCTCCCCCTCCTCCTCCTCCTCCTCGTCCCCCGCCCTTCCTCCTACGTCTGCCTCGTCTTCCCGGGGCTGCCAACTGCGCAGCCGTCGCCACGGCTGTGAGCTCCAGAGAGGATGCGGTCGAGCGCGTGTCACTCGCCGCCCAGTCAGCGCCAACGTCGCCTGGCACACTCGCGCCCTGGGAGCCCACCTGATCTCGGTGCCGATCCAAAGGACCCACCCAGTTTTTTTTTTATCGGGGGCGGCAAAGAGGGGGGTGCTGACTAGGGGGGGGTGGATCATGTCGTGGGCCATGATATTTCCACAGATTTTATGTCGCCGGCCCCCCCGCTGGGTCGCGCACATGCCGCCGGTCATGATGTGAACCCCCTCTCTTCGATACCCCCCTCTTGGCCGTTCCCGATTTTATCAGGGCGCATCCCGAAGATTGTCGTCGCTGCGAGCTTGTGATCCTCAGGAGCCAGGGCCTCGCGGCGCCTCGAGCTGACCTTGTATGAGACCCTATGACAGGGAGGACACGTAGAGAGAAGGAGAAGAAAGAGGATGAGAGGAGGAGGAGGAGGAGGAGGAGGGGAGGAGGATGAGAGGAGGAGGAGGAGGAGGAGGAGGAGGAGGAGGAGGAGGAGGAGGAGCAAGAGGAGGAGCATGAGGAGGAGGAGGAAGAGGAGGAGCAGGAGCAGGAGCAGGAGGAGGAAGAGGAGGAGGAGGAGGAGAAGTCAGGAGGAGGAAGGGGAGGAGAATCAGAAGGAGGAGGAGGAGGAGGAGGAGGAGGAGGAGCAGGAGGAGGAGGAGGAGGGGGAGGAAGAGGCTGCCTCCCAAAGCCCCCCTGCCTCCCAAAGCCCCCCTGGGAGCCCTCGGGGCCCGGTCTGCCCCGATGAGGCGCCCTGTGCCCTCTCCCGCCCCGCCTCCCTTGCGCCGACGTGTTCTGCGCTGCTTGCCCGGCTGAGGTGCCGCCAACCTTCGCCTTCAGGGGAAAAAGGCGATCTCACGCTGGGTTGATCGGGCTGCGTCGATGGAGCTTTTTTTTTATACCCCGTGGGCCATAGAACGCGCATGATGCCCCCTGAACCCCCCCCCCCCCTGCCCCTCCCCCCTCCCATCACGTAGCGCTCCCCCCCCCCGGTGCGTCCCTGGCACTGTCGCAGTGCGTCCGGCATCACAGTCTGGGGCGGGGGGGAGGGCGCGACGTGATGCCCCCTCCCGTGCCCCCCCCCCTCCCCATGGGGGGCTCGAGGTTGGTTCTGTCAACATTTTGTCGGTTCTGTCGGTTTTCCAGCCTCTGAGCGCCTTCCAGCGGTTGCGCCTCGCAGAGAGCGTTCGGGGGGGGCCTGGACCTTCCCGAACGGCCGACGTAGGTCCGAGATGCGTTCGGGATTTGTTTGGGTAGCGTGTCGCTCCGCCGGTTCTGGCCCACCACGCCTCGGCGCGACACGCTATCCACTTCGACTTCGCGTCCCCGTGGCGTCAATAACTCTTGAGTTTTTTCGGGGCCTCTCGCCCCGCGGAGCAGAGCGAGACGCTATTCGCTCGCAGGGGACAGCGTATGGCCGTGGCCGCCCTGGCGGCACGCTGTCCAACAGCTCTCGATCGCACCGATGCCGCCACCCTTCCGTTGTCGCTGTGGCTGGATTCGCCTCGACATGCTGGTCCGAACGCGCATCCAGAGAGGTCCTGGGATTAGACCCTCGTTAGGGGGACCTGCCATGGGCCCACCTGACGGGTCTGTTCGACTCTAGTTCGACCCCAGTTCGACTCATGTTCGACTCGAGTTCGACTCAAGTTCGATTCAGGTTCGACTCAGGCTCGACTCAAGGTCGGCTCCACTCGACGGACGTGCGACGCAGCATCGACGCACGAGTGGAGCGAGTGTCTCCAGGAAGGTCCCCAGAATGAGCATCTAAGTGCGTCTTCACCCCTCCGCCGGCCTCTTTCCTGCTCCTCTGTGCGGTCGTCGATGCTGAGCCCCCTCCTCCATTCTGCCTCTCCGTCGTCGCCAGCCGGCAGATGGTGGCTTCCATTGCTCCGCTCCGGTCGGCGGGGGGGCCCAAGGTCTCCCGTATCCAAGACGTGGCCCCAGCGTGCCGTGCCATGGTGGGGGTCCTTGCAGGCCCGACGGGCCTCGTGAGGGGTACTCTGGAGGCCAGCGAGAGGCCTCACCGGAAGTCTCGGCGGCGTCCGTGGGCCAGGGACACCGTCTGGGGCAGCACCCAGTCAGAAGGTGTGGCCCTACGCGCTGAGCGACCCGCACGCGGCGCACGGGAAGGAGGAGCCCGCGAACTGCGGCATCGAGCTCAAGGTGGTCGAGGGGCCAGCCGACGGCATGGCCTCCGCTGCAGTGCCGGCCATGGCGCCGGGGCTTTGCTTGGGGAACGTCGGCGACGGCGACGGCGACGACGACGACGACGGCGGCTGTTGCCGTGGCAGCGACGACGACCTTGACGACGATGACGACGACGACGACGACGACGACGACGACGACGACGACGACGTCAACGAAGGACGAGGGTCCAGATCGAGACTTCTGACTGTGCTTTGCATTCTTTTTGAGAGCATCGAGCATAGGTCGGAGCAAGAGGAGGAGAAGGAGGAGGAGGAGGCGGAAGAGGAGGGGGAGGAGGAGGAGGAGGAGGAGGAGGAGGAGGAGGAGGAGGAGGAGGAGGAGGAGGAGGAGGAGGGGGAGGAGGAGGAGGAGGAGGAGGAGGAGGAGGAGGAGGGGGAGGAGGAGGAGGATGAGGATGAGGAGGAGGAGGAGGAGGAGGAGGAGGAGGAGGAGGAGGAGAAGGAGGAGGAGGAGGAGGAGGAGGAGGAGGACCTCCCCATCCTCCCTTCTCCCTCGTTCTATCTGTGGTCGTGGTGGTGGATCACTGGACCATCACAGGGCGGCCCCCCCGCGGGGACTCGGCGGAGAGCTCGGCGGGGGCTCGGCGGGGGCCACCCCTGGGGGGTGCGGGCGCGCCGAGGGGCCTGCGGGGGGTCCTCCGCCCGGGATGGTCCGTCGCCGTGTGCCCGCGCGCACGCCAGTCGAACGCGTAGTCGACGGAGGACGACGACGACGACGACGACGACGACGACGACGACGACGACGTCAACGAAGGACGAGGGTCGAGATCGAGACTTCTGACTGTGATTTGTTTTTTTTTATGTGTGGGAGCATCGAGCACAGGTCGGAGCAGGAGGAGGAGGAGGAGGAGGAGGAGGAGGAGGAGGAGGAGGAGGAGGAGGAGGAGGAGGAGAGGTTGGGTCGAGATCGAGATCTCTGACTGTGCTCTGGCTTTTTTTGGGTGGGAGCATCGAGCGGCCCCCCGCGGGGACTCCGGGGGCTCGCTCCGGGAGCTCGGCGGGAAGCCACCCGGGGGCGCGGGCGCGTCGAGAGGACCGCGGGGGTCCTCCGCGGGACGGGGTCCGCCGCCGCGTGCCCGCGCGCGCCAGTCGGACGCGCAGCCGACGGTCGACTGGCCGTAGCGTGAAGTCGGGCCTGTCCCCCTCTGCAGGGGGAACATCCAGAAATAGTCCGAAAGTAGCCTGGGGACGATGCTCTGACCATGCTTGAGCATTTTTGGGGGGGTATTGTTTGACTATTTTTGATTTTTCGTTCAAGATCCGCCTGTAGGAGACAGGCCCGACCCAACCCTAGCGCCGATCCGAGAAATCCACCCAGACCTTCAAAAGTTTTTCTCTACAGCCAGCCCGTAGAAGAAGGAGGCGCGGTAAGACTGCAATGGCCTCGGGGAGCCGTGCCGTCGTTCTGCGAGGGGGGGCGCGGCCAGCAAAAGCGGTCAACGATGGGCCGACGGGACAGGATGCAAGAGCATCTGGAGGGGAAACACACACACAGGCACAATTGATCATCGACTCCCAGGACAACTATGGGAACACATGGGAAGTGGGGGGGAAGACGGGAAGCCAGTAACTACGGGGCAGTAGGGGGATGTGTGTCTAGTCATTTGCGTGTCGCAGGGCCCCTCTCAAGTAACCGTGGAAAGCCGCTCCTCCTCGCGGGGCGGGCTGCCGGTATGCTGTTCTGCGCTCCTCGGTGGGAAGCCGTGGGCCAGCCGCGGCCCCTCCTGGCGGCGCCCCGCCCCCTGGCGCGCTCTGCGCGCCAGGGAGAGGGTCCCGGCTCGGGTCCATGAAGTCCGCGCAGGCCAAACAAAGTTGATGTGAAGGGTTAGCCCTGAGATCCTAGAGCTGTATTGTTTTTCGCCGCGGGGGTCGTCGTGCAATTTCGTCGGAGGTGGATCGTCGAATGGCGAATCTGCCGCTTTCGGTTTGCGAGGGGGCGTCGCGGCCGTCATGTCTGCGGGTCCAAATCCGTCGGTTTCGGTCCTAGGCCGTTTTCACTAAGGGGTGGTTTACTAAATGGAGGTTTGTCCACCGGGACCCTCACGGACCGATCTTGCTCGGAAAAGGATGCAGAAAGATGTCGTCTAGGGCTTTGGGCGCGGTTCCCTGCGATGTTGCAACGTCGGATCTCAGGGAAGGCGGTATTATTCTTATTTGATTTCAGCTTTACCTGCATCCCGTCCACCACCGGGTCCTCTAGGGGGGCAGGGCAGGGTGGCGATGAAGGGGGGGGATAAGGAGGATGCGGAGGAGGAGGAGGAGGAGGAGGAGGAGGAGGAGGAGGAGGAGGAGGAGGAGGAGGAGGAGGAGAAGGGGGAACATGAAGAGGAAGCATTTCAAACAAACAAAAAAAAAAAACGACGGGGAGGAGGAGATGGAGGACAAGGAGCAGGGACGGCTGATCGGCGAAACATGGCCCTCCTCGAAATTCGAGAAAAATCATCCCGGCAAAGCAACCTAACAGCGATGTGTAGAAGCATATCTGGAGCGGGGCAGCCCCGGCCGGGGCAGCCGGCCGCCCTCCTCCTCCTCCTCCTCCTCCTCCTCCTCCTCCTCCTGGTCGTCCTCCCCCTCCCCTCCTCCTGCTCCTCCTGGTCGTCCTCCTCCTCCTGCTCGTCCTTCTCCTCCTGCTCGTCCTCCTCCTCCTCCTGCTCGTCCCCCTTCTCCTGCTCCTCCTCTTCCTCCTCGTGCTCGTCCTCGTCCTCCTCGTCTTGCTCGTCCTCCTCCTCCTCGTCGTGCTCTTGCCCCTGCTCCTCCTACAGTTGGCTCTGGGCATTGAAAATGTGGCCCGGGAATGAAGTTCTGGGAACTCGAAGAGCACGAAGTGGCCTACAGTTGGCTCCAGGCATTGAAAATGTGGCCTGGGAGTGGAGTTCTGGGAACTCGAGCGCCCCTGCTCCTCCTACAGTTTGTCTGCGAGCATTGAAAATGTGGCCCGGGAATGAAGTTCTGGGAGCCCGAAGAGCACGAAGTGGCCTACAGTTGGCTCCGGGCGTTCAAAATGTGTCCCGGGAATGGAGTTCTGGGAACTCGAAGAGCACGAAGTGGCCTACAGTTGGCTCCGGGCATTCAAAATGTGGTCCGGGAAAGAGTTCTGGGAACTCGAAGAGCACGAAGTGGCCTACAGTTGGCTCCGGGCGTTCAAAATGTGTCCCGGGAAAGGAGTTCTGGGAACTCGAAGAGCACGAAGTGGCCTACAGTTGGCTCCGGGCATTCAGAATGTGGCCCAGGAATGGAGTTCTGGGACCTCGAAGACCACGAAGTGTGTAACCGTTTGCTTAAAACGACTTCCGCGGATTCTCCCCGGATCCTGCCCGGACCCCCCTGGGGAGTCATGATGCTTTCTTCTGAGACGATTAGAAACCTATCAGTCTTCGCTGTTAGGTAAAAACTCAGCTTTATCTGCATCCCGTCCACCACCGTGTCCTCCAGGGGGGCAGGGCAGGGTGGCGATGAAGGGGGGAGAGAAGGAGGATGCGGAGGAGGAGGAGGAGGAGGAGGAGGAGGAGGAGGAGGAGGAGGGGGAACATGAGGAGGAAGCATTTCAAAAAAAAAGAAACGACGGGGAGGAGGAGATGGAGGACAAGGAGCAGGGACGGCTGATCGGCGAAACATGGCCCTCCTCGAAATTCGAGATAAAAAATAAACCGAAGTTTAAATAATCTCTCAAAGCCAAAAAGAACCAGTGTATAGTTCAAACTGTTTGGGATCAGGTAAACAAGTCAAATCGAAACTACAAGGACAACTCTCAGACACCTGCGGTGTGAGTGTGTGGTGTAATCAATCCTTGTAAGGTCTCATATATGATATATGCAATGATGTGTTCAGTACAAGTTGTTGCACCAGCACTGTGTAACTTCCAGTGTAATCATGCATGTTGGACGTGCTGCTTTGTTGCGCGAGTGGAATGGGGATGCGCGAGGCTTTCAGAGTATGCGTCTCACGAAGCTCACGAGACGCCCCAAGTGCTTACCCAGATGGCCTCGTTCCTGGTGCCCTCTTGCAGTTTGGGTGGTCTTGGGGCTTTGCGCGGCCCCCTTGAGACTTCCTTGGCTCTGCCAGGGCCTCCGCAAACGGCTTCTGTGGGCGCTGACGGGGCTCTTCAAGATCCTTTCGGGAGCGTAAGGGGATCATCTGGAGGGCTCCTCAAGGGTCCTTAGTCGGACATTGGGGCGGCTTCGAGGGGCTTGGGATCTTCATATTCATGTGCCCCCGGATGGCTTGAGCGCGCGAGGCTCGTTCGGGACGGGGAGGGCCCCTTCTGGATTCTGGATGCCCCCGCTTCTGAGTGCTTGCGCCCGCATCCGTCGCCTGTTCCCGCGTTTCCCCGGCGTGGTAAAAGAAACCAAGTTGGCAACAAACATGCCTTTGCCTGCTTAGTGGATTAGGAATCGAGCGATGATCGCAACGAGCCATGAGATAGTAGAACAAGCGAAGATAAAACAGTAAAGTGACTGACGATACAAAGAAACCGATGCAACAAGTCGCCGCCCGAAGCGGTAATCTGGGGGAGGGGCCGCGTTCAATCTGATATTTCGCAAGGTCTGTAGGGAGTTTGCGTTGGTGGTTCATATTGTGTTGTGGTTCGCAGGGCTCCGTCACTCGGGTTTTGAACGTGAAAGGCGGTGTCTCGTCGGATCCCAGATTGGATGGAATTTGATCTTCTAATCTAAACATGAGCTACAGCCTTGTTTCGATCATAATTCCTTGCTTCCCTCGAGTTTGAATATGAGTTGTGTTTCGAATTCCGCTTGGATGTGTGCTCGCGTCGCGACATTGAATGTGATTGCGCAAATGAATTGTATATGCAGTATAGAAGCCCTTGCTGAAGCTACGTTGTTGATGTGCTCCGTAGTTGTAGTGCTGTTCCCCCAGTGACCCAGGGCCTTCCTTTTGCCTTATCCACCGGCTATCGGACAATGAGGGCGGTGAGGAGAACGGCGATGGGTGCGGAAGGTGAGGAGGGCAAAGTTTCGTTGGTTCGGAGATCCTGTAAACAATCCTCACGCTTCAACGTCGTCATGAGGGGGCCGCGTACTGGCCGACGACCCAAATGGCCCATTTAAGTAGGCTTGGAAGCGGAGGCGAAGGATGCGGATGGGACATGTGGGCGGGAGGCGGGGGTAGTCCCCCGAACCTCCTCAGATCTGTGGAATCCTCGAACGGGAGACGTTCCTCCTCCTCCTCCTCCTCCTCCTCCTCCTCCTCCTTCTCGTCCTCCTTCTCGTCCTCCTCCGTTCCTCCTCCTCCTCCTCCTCCTCCTCCTCCTCCTCCTCCTCCTCCTCCTCCTCTTCCTCCGCGTCAGCATCATCCTCCTCCTCTCTGGCTTCAGGATCGCCAGAAAGAGGCGAGGGAGCTGGAGGAGCAGTCCTCGGATGGCCAGGGGGGGTGGGGATAGGAGAAGGAGGAGGGCTAGAGGAGCCTCGTCATCAGCAGTCTCGCTCCTCGCTCTTCCTGCTGCTCGCTCAGCTTCCTTCCCAGACATGCTCGCGTCGAGAAAAAATCAGGACGGCAAGTTGTTCTGCAATTTTCGACCCTCGGGACCGTCAAACGACGGCTCAGGATGACAAACCGGTCCCGGTGAAAGTGTCGGGACTTCCAGGGACGCCGTCCTGCAAGGATCAGGACGTCGCATGTCTGGGTTCTCATCCTCGATCATTTTATTGAGGGCCAGGTTGGAGCGGATGATGAGGAAGCCGTGGAGGAAGGGACAGGCTGCTCCCCGTTTTTCCAACTAGCAATATCCGTGGTTCTTCCCGAACGCTTGTCCTCTCCCCAGAGCTATTCGCGGCGAAACATGACTCGACGGACGGTGTTTGGAAAAAGACGGCCTCCAGAGGCCCTTACTGGGCCAGAGGACCGTCAAAGAACGATTTGCTCAGCCAGCGGTAATGGCTATCAGAGCGAATGGGGCTCAGCCAGAACGCCAGATCCTACAGGATCAAAGCAGGATCTTGGCTGAGCCTGGCTTGGGACCCGCTCGTCCTCCTCCTCCTCCTCCTCCTCCTCCTCCTCTCCCTCCTCCTCCTCCTCCTCCTCCGCCGCCTTCTCCTTCTCCTCCTCCTCCTCCTCCTCCTCCTCCTCCTCCCTCTTCCCTCTTCCTGCATATGGTAGCGGTGGTGGAACATGGGCCCATCACCCGCTCAACGATCGGGAGATCACCAGGCCAGGCGCTCAGGGCGAGCCCGGCCCCTCCTGGCCGCAGACCGCGCAATGCGGGGGCGGTGCATATTCCCTCCTCCGCCTCCCGGTCGGAGACAGAGAGAGGCGGCGCAACCACCATCAGCAGCGGGGCCGTCTCCTGCAGGGGTGGCCACGATGCCTCCCCGAGCTCGAGTTAAGTCGGGCGTGTCCCCCCACAGGTGGATTCTGGGCGAAAAATTCAGAATACCCCGAACATATTCCCAAATAGTCACAAACTAATCCAAAAATCGTCCCCTTCATTACGATTTTTCGATTCTTTGTGAGTGTTCCTCCTGTAGAGGGACACGCCCGACTGAAAGCTCGAGCGATGGGGGATGTCCAGAGCGAGAGGGGGGAGGGGGACCACACCGCCAGGATTAAGTCGGGCATGTCTCTCTGTTCAGGAGGAGTATTCAAAACAAGTAAAACATAGTATGGTGACGATGTGTCTACCATTTTTATGTTGTTTGATTATCTTTGATGTTTCTCCCATAATCCGCCTGTGGGAGGGCATGCCCGACCTAACACCAGGAGGACCTTCCCTGGCGCATCTCGCTGCTGGTAGTGGCGCTGCCTTTCCTTTGTTCCTACCTCTTCTCCTTCCGCCCCGTCAGACCAACGACGCTGTGTCCAAGGCGTGTGCCAGGGAGGTCTGAACCCTATTTTAGATGCTCGCTCGGGGGAACTTCCTGGGTCCACATAACGCATCCGATCGATCTGAATCCGACTCCAGTACGACTCAATGTCGACTCAAGCCGACGGACCTCGACGCAGCACCGACGCACGAGTGGAGCGAGTAGCTCCAGGTGCGTCCCCTGAACGATCTTGTAACCACCCCTCGGACGGATCCTCTCCCGCGGGCCTCCCTCTGACGACCCCAGCGCCCGACAGGACGGCCACCCACCGAGAAGCCCTCCTCGGGAGGCGCCCTGCAGAGCGCCACGGCCCAGTGCATCCTCGGAGTGCAGGCCCTCCCCCGCGGCTGAGCCGCGCGGCCGAGGCTGCCTTCTCCGAGCCGACACCCGTGCCCCCTCACGGGGCCCACCCTGTCGGGCGCTTCCTTGGTGCTGGGCGGGGGGGACGTTCGTTAAGGAACGGGCCCGGGAGGCTTCAGACCCTGGAAGATCCCTTACCCGAGGCGGGCGGCGGTGAAATCCATGGCCAGGCCTCCACTGCTGCTCCACTGGCTTCCAGACCCTGGGCTCCTTGCCCAGAAAGATTCCTTATCCAATGCCCTCGCAGTATGCAGGATCGGCTGTTTGGGGGGTGGGAGCGAGGACTGCAGGAGACGGGGCCCGCCAGGGTCCCTGGATTGCACGACAGGTGCACCTTTCTTTATTCATCCCCCCGCTTACCCCCCCATGAAGGAACGCACGATTCCTGGCCGGTCTACCGGGCCGCGTCCTCGCCTGGGCCACGATGGCCTCCAGAGACGGCGCCCCCCCAACAAAAATAACAGGTTGACGCCACTGTCGACGACGACGACGACCATCACCACCACCACCACAACCGACGGCGGCGGTGGCGCTGGCGCCGGCGGCGACGGCGGCGACCACAACGATGTTGACAGCGGTGGCGGCGGCTGCGACGGCGACGGCCGCGGCGGCGGCGGTGACGACGAAGACGGCCGCGGCAGCGACGGCGGCGTGCGCGCCCAGAGTTCGAAGCCGCTCAGGCGTCCATGGGCGTCCCGGGGTCGGGCCCGCTGGCGTCGCCCAGCGCGGCGCCGCCCGACTTCGCGGACCCGATCGGGCTCAGCGCCTTCCTGATGATCGACAAGGCTCACGGCTGGGGCGGCCAGGGGAATTCTCGTCTATGGTGCCTTCCTCCTCGTCCTCTTCCGCCTCCTCCTCCTCGGTCCTCCTCCTCCTCTTCCTCGGTCCTCCTCCTCTTCCTCCTCGGCCCTCCTCATCCTCGGCCCTCGTCCTCCTCAGGATGAGGAGGAGGAGGAGGAAAAGGAGGAGGAGGAGGACCAGTGTATGTAAACCCAAGAGTCATCAACGATGTTGTAATGAACCCTCCCTCCAAGCTCGCTCTTCGTAGGCCCCTACAACGGATCATTTTCATTGAGGGAACTGCCTCGTGGGAAGACAACGGTTTGAAGATCCTGAAGCGTGCCACCACATTTCTCTCGGGATTTCAACGCCACGTATCAATCTGACCTGCTGCGTCTTGACTATCCGGAATCGTGCCAGAAAGCCATGTTTGGGATTTGAACACCGCGAATCAATATAATTGTTGTGCCCACATAATCTTGAATCCTTCTGAAACGCCATCACTGGTACGTTGATCACTGGAATCCGTGAAGCCCTTGCAAATTGTTAAAACGAATTTGCGCGGCGCCAAGGCGAGAGCCAGATTTTGACAAGGTACCGCCCTCAATCCGTGAAACCCTTGCAAATTGTTTAAGCGAACGCGCGCGGCGCCAAGGCGAGAGCCACATTTTGAAAAGGTACCGCCCTCAATCCGTGAAGCCCTTGCAAATTGTTTAAGCGAACGCGCGCGGCGCTAAGGCGAGAGCCACATTTTGAAAACGACCCGCCCTCAATCCGTGAAGCTTTTGCAAATGTTTGAAATAATGTGCGCGGCGCTAAGGCGAGAGCCACATTTTGAAAGCGACCCGCCCTCCATCTGCGAAGCTGGTATTACTTTTCAAGCTTCGGGGTCATACCTGGAGAGGAAGTCTCAGGCGAACTGCCAGGCCCGCCCTAAAGACTGGCCTCGGGGGTCGACAGGGAGAAGTTACCTATATGGAGAAGGAGGAGGAGAAGGAGGAGGAGGCGGAGGAGGAGGAGGAGGAGGAGGCGACGGAGGGGGAAATTTGAGGGTCCAAACGTTCTGGCCTTTGTGCCCTTTTTGGGGGGGGGCCTTCAGAGGCTCCCTTGGGGATTTCTGTTGGAAGGAGAGGGGAGGGGGGGGGTCGCACCGAATTTCTCTTTCCGGTTCTTCTTGACCGCGCCCCTGGCCCTTCCACTTAACCTCCCCGAAGGAGGAGGAGGGAGGGAGGCAGGGACGGAGGGAGGTAGGGACGGAGGAAGGGGGGGAGGGAGAGAGGAGGAGGATGAGGGGGGACGAGGAGGAGTAGGAGGGGGAGGATGAGGAGGAGAAGGAGGAGGAGAAGGAGGAGGATGAGAAGGAGGAGGAGGAGGAGGAAGAGGAGGAGGGGGATGGGGGAGAAGGAGGAGGACGAGGAGAAGGAGGAGGAGGATGAGGAGGAGCAGGAGGAGGAGGAGGAGGAGGAGGAGGAGAAGGAGGAGGAGGAGGGGGAGGAGGAAGAGAAGGAGGAGCACGGGGAGGATGACGGGGATGGGAAAAGGAGGGTTCTGACGGATTCCGATGGTATCTGGGCTCGCTCCCCAGCACAGGCCAAAAAGGCTGTGGGAGCGGCCAGAGCGAATGTTTGCAGCTTCGAAGTCCCCCCAGGGATGTGCATGAGGGCTTTGGCGCGCCCTCCCAACCTATGCCTCGCATTCGATTTCTGCCCTCCTCCTTCACAATTGCTCAATCTGAAAATACTCTCCCTCTTCCCCTGATGGCGTCCGGGTGATGGCCGCGCACCCTCCGCGTACTGTTTTTAAACACACAGGATGCCCGGGAAATCCCGGGAAACGACTCTCGCTGAGGCGCCGGCGTCATTTTTTCCCAAAATGCTGCTCTCGTTGAGGCGCCGGCCTCATTTCTGCTCCCGAATCGTTCCGAATCGTGCTCCCGCTGCAGCGTGGGCCTCATTTTCGGATCGGTGTTTGGCCTCCGTCGTTCAGGATGGCGTTCTCGCCCCAGCGCGGGCCTTTTTCTCGCGCGCCATCCGCCCGCCACCACCGCGCCGCACCGCCACCACCACCACCACCACCACCACCACCCACCACCACCACCACCACCACCACCCACCAGCACCAGCAACACCACCACCACCACCAGCCACCACCACACCACCAGCACCACCACCACCATCCACCACCACCACCACCACCACACCACCACCACCACCACCACACCACCACCACCACCACCACCACCACCCCGACAACCACGCACACACGCACGCACGCACGCACGTGCACCACCACCCACTACGCACGCGCGCGCGGAGCCACAGGTCCGCTACGACACGCGTCCGCGGATAGAGAAAATCAGCGCCATGGTAAGGGATGGGAGAGAGGGGTAGGACGTCAGATATGACGCGAGCGCACCTAGCTTGTCCTCCCCCCTCCTTCTCCCCCCTCGGCTTCATCTGCTTCTCCTCCTGGGCCCCCTCCTTGTTCTTCCCTTCTGTTCCTCGGAGCAGGAGGAGGGGAGGATGGCGAAGCTGGGCGGCGAAACGTGCCATGGGGGGACAGGGATGAAGGTGCAGAAAATGGACGCAGGGCCCTGCTCGCTTCAGGGTGAGCGGCTGGTGGAGGAGGAGGAGGAGGAGGGGGAGGAAAAGGAGGAGGAGGAGGAGGAGGAGGAGGAGGAGGAGGAAGGAAGGGCAGGATGGAATGAGGAGGAGAGGGAGGAGGAGGAGGAGGAGGAGGAGGAGGAGGAGGAGGAGGAGGAGGAGGAGGAGGAGGAGGAGGAAGGGGAGGAGGAGGAAGGGGATGATGGAATGAGGAGGAGGAGGAGGAGGAGGAGGAGGAGGAGGAGGAGGAGGAGGAGGAGGAGGAGGAGGAGGAGGAGGAGGAAGGCGAGGGGGGCGCGCGCCGGCACCGGCCGGATCTGGGGCCCCGATGTCGGAGGAGGAAAAGGTACCCAAACCTCTACCCCTGCCTCGCTTTTGTCCCCCTCCTGGGGCCTCCTGGGCGGCCATCGCCGCCACCGCTGGATGCGCCTCGACACCCTGGTCAGAGCGCACCCCAGCAGAGGGCCGGGGAGTAGCGGCATCGGTACCCTTTTGTGTCCCCACCTCGGAGGGGAGTAGCGGCATCGGTGCTTCTGTTCCCCACGCGCGCGCGGATCCAGCCGCTTCCCTTGCCGCCTCTTGCTCCTGCCTGGGCCGGCGCGGGGCCGCGCGGCGCTTCGCCCTTCCTTTCTCTCGTCTCCCTCGTCGCCGCCGCCGTCGTCGTCGTCTTCCCGCTGGGCTCCGCCGTGTTGGTTAAAGGAAGTGTGTGTTCATCTTTGTTCTTCTGTTCCGTCCCGGCGTTCTGGGGTAACGTGTGAGTGATTGGCCACGCGACTTGTTCGCCTCGCACAGGGACAGGACAGGCTGCAGCTCAACTGGCAGAGGGCCAGATGCCAGGGGGGATGGGGAGCCCCGGGCTTTCCCGATCAGGTCACGGACATCAGGCTTCCAGCGGACCCCAACATGAAGAGGATGCTCTTGACCGTGAACTCTGTGGACGGCCACACGGAGCAGGGGAGGAGAAAAGGGATGAGGAGGAGGACGAGGAGGAGGAGGAGGAGGACGAAGTGGCGGAGAAGGAGGAGGAGGAGAAGGAGGAGGGTGTGTGTTCCCCACCCGACAGGTGGTGGTTGTTAGATTTAGAGATGAGAACTCCCGTCCGCCTCGCACACCCTGCATACCGCTGCCACCATGCCACCAGCGTGCCAGTGCTGCTTGGTTGTCCCGCCACGCGTCTTCGACGAATGACGACTGCATTGCGCGACCGGCAGGGCAAATGTGTGCCAGGGGTCCTTGGAAATCTGGCCTCGCGTTTTCGGGTGGGGATCGCTCGAAGCAAAACATACGTGTCACTGCAAGGGCGCGCGTGTCTAGCATGTGTTCTCCCTGCCCCCGTCATTCGTCTCTCCCCCCTCCCTCAACGGGTTTCCCCCCTGCTCCTGCTCCTCATCCTCCTCACTTTCTGTGCCTGCTTCTCGGCCCCCCTCGGCCCCCTCGGTCATCCATCTTTCCTCTCCTCTCTCCTCCTCCCCTGGCTCCCCCTCCTTCCTCCTGCCGTTCCTGCTCCCCCTTCCTCACCCTCCCCTTCCCACCCGTCTCTCCTCCTCCGCCTGCACGTTCTCCTCAACCCCATGCCCCTGCCCCTCCCACCACACCCCAAGAAAACCCCAGATCATGCAACAGGCAATGGTAGAGAACCCCCACCCTGACACGTCGATTAGTGAACTGTCCGTTTTCGGTTCTCGAGAGGGCACCGCGGCCGTCATTTTCCAGGCTTGCGCCCGCCAGGTCTGGGCCCGAGGCCGTTTTCACGAAACCACGTTCTGCTAAAGGGGGGCTCTGTCCATCCCCGATAACTGCTATCGGCCCCCCACGAGAGGCGGACACGACCTGGAGCAGCCAGGCGGGCCTGCAACCAGCTTGCTAGCGCCTTGCAAGTGGATGGCAACCACCTTGCAACCGTTGCAGCTCACAGCATCCACTGCAGCTCAGAAGCCAGGCGAAGGCTGGCAAACCCGTGGCTGCCAACATGTAGCTCCGGATTTTTTTTGTGTTCCGGGACGCAGCCCGTGTGCTATTTCTAGTGCGCTGAGTTTCTTTCGGTGATGCCCTTTTAGCAGCCACGGATTTGCCAGCCCTCGCCCAGCTTCTGAGCAGCACCCACCCTTCCCCAGGAGGAGGAGGAGGAGGAGGAGGAGGAGGAGGAGGAGGAGGAGGAGGAGGGGGAGGAGAAGAGGAGGAGGAGGGGGAGGACATGCCCGCCCTAAGTCTGGGCCTCTCCTCCCCGGGAAGAAGCTGCGACCACGAGTTCTGTCAATGCAGTCAGGCCGCTGCAGAAGGAACTCTTTTTCGTTTGAGGGGGTTTGGTGCTCCTTAATTGTTTTACAGTTTTGTCTTTGGCCTCCCTGACATGTTCAATGGTAAATCGAAGTTTGACATGTGGGATGCAATGGCCTCGTTCCTTATTTGTGTTTCCTTATGACAGCGCTTCGACTGTAGCCACTGCGTCTTGGACGTGTTGGGTGGGGCGCCAAGAGGCCCCAGGCGCAGTGGAGATGGATCGTAATCTAGCTTTTGCAGGGAAAGACTTGTATCCATATCCCTTGCGCCTCGGTGGATATGCATACAAATCTTACCCGCAAGAGAGCGTCCGCCACTGGCAGATAGCAGCAGAAGCCCCCAGGGCCGCTTCTGAGTTTCTGCCAGATTCCCGGGGGGCCTCAAGCGCAACAGAGCCTCTCCGGGTTGCACCCTGCGTTCTCCTTATTCCCTTCCTCCTCCTCCTCCTCCTCCTCCTCCTCCTCCTCCTCCTCCTCCTCACCTCCTCCTCCATTTCCTCCTCCTCTTCCACTCGCCGCCAGGCCCATTTGCCTGGCCGACCTCACGGCCATAGTTCGTTTCACCGCGAACGATGGACAAAGCTGGTCCCTGGTCCCTCCTCCTGATCCTCCTCCTCCTCCTCCTCCTCCTCTCCTCCTCCTTCTCCTCCCTCCTCTTGTTGCTGCGTCTTCCTCGAATTTCCTGCTCGACAAAAGCAGGGGGCCGCCCAAGAGGGGCAATAGGTACGCCGGCAGAAGCAGGCCTTCCAAGCGGCCTCCATCCAATTGATCGTGTTCCTTCCTTGGGGCGTCGAGCACTTCAACATTCTAGATTAAGTCGGGCACGTCCCTCTACAGGAGGAACATTCAAACATAATCAAAAACATTGTCAGGGGACGATGTTTTGAACAACTATGTTCGTTAAGGCATTGTTTGATTATGTTTTATGCTTCGTCGAAAATCCGCCGGTAGAGGGACATGCCCGACCTAACCCTAGATTAATCCGAGGCCCTCTGTTCCAGAGGCTGAGAGCTTCTGGGTCCGTGGGCGAGCACCGCGCACCCTTTGCCCAAGGGTGGAAGACGTGTTCTCCCGAGAGGCCGTGCGACATCTGGGAAAGCACAGACCGGACAGCCTCGCCGGAGGGGGATTCCGAGGGCCAGGGCGGCCTCGCAGGAGCGGGGGGGCTCCTGGCGCAGCCGCGACGAGGCAGGGCGGCGCCGAGGGCGGGCAGGGGAGGGAAGACCGGGGGCGAGACCAGGGGCGGACTGGGCCCAGAGGGGGGGAGGGAGCTCGTCGGGCTCGAGGTGCAGTCGGGGCCCTGAAGAAGGAGCCCTTCTCGTTGGGGAGGGGCTCCGTGTGCCTGACGTGCTTCGCAGTTTGCCTCGGGTGGTCCTCAGATTTTTTCGGTGGGGGGTCGAAGCTTAGCTTGTGGAAAAAGAGGGGCCTCGTGTTTTATTTAGGGTTCCTTCGGTCCACGCCTCGACTGTATACGAGGCTTCTGGGTGCCGTCGCTGGACCTCGGCCGTTCTCTGCCCCAGCCTCAAGGATGGTTGCTCGCCAGGCGCTGCGCCTCGCCGATCGAGGGGGGCGTTTCCGGAGGAGGGCCCCGGGGGGCCAGCCCGAGCGGCCGCCGGAGAGAGCCGAGAGCTACGAACCCGGGCACGATCGCGTCATACGAAAGATCTGGACGGGCGGTTTTTGGCTATTTTTGGCCTCCCGGGGGCTTTGTGGGCCCTGGAGACGGCAGGGCCGTTTTTTCACCGTTTCCCCAAAAATGTCCCTTGAAAGTGGAAACGGCAAGAAAACGGCGACCGGAAACGGCAAGAAAACAGCTCCAGGATTAGAACTGGAGCCAGAACCGGTCAAAAAACGGCGACGGAACCAAGAAAACGGCGTCGGAGCCGGCGAAAAAACGGCAAAACGGAACCGGTAAAATACCGGCCCTGCCGTTTCCAGGGCCCACTAAGTCCGGGGGCCCGTATACCGGCCTTCGGGACCGTTGAAGAAACGACCCAGGACGAGAAACTGGTCCCAGGGAAAGGGCCCCGTCGTGAGAAAATCAGGGCGTCGCATGTCTGGGAAGCGACCCCGACGCCAGGGGGGCCTAAGGAAGCGGGGGGACAGGCTCAGTCAGGGACAGACGCATCGACCTCCCCCCCCCCCCGCCCATGCATCGCCGACAGGGGGCCCGCTGGCCCACCCCCGCCCAGGAACGTGGGGGCTACTCCAGATTTCGTAATAAAAGGGAGGGGGTCACAACCCTCCCAGACGAGAAGTTTTAGACCCCCCCAGACTATCCATGAAAGGGCGGCCCTTTGCCCAGACCCCCCCGAACCCTCCAAGACAGCTCAAATTCGACCCCCCCCCCGAATGTGACCCCCCCCACTTTGTTGTGGAATCTGGATAACTGTCGGGGGCATACAGCATCCGGCTTGCATAAGGAATACTTACTTTTCCAAAGGGCCTCGGTCGTTCCTTTGGTTTGCATGCGTTCTGCTACCTCTTTGGCGGCGAGCCCCCCTGGTGCTGGAGAAAAAGGGGGCTTCGCCGACTTACTTGGAAACAAAGGGGCTTCGTTCCTTATTTTCCCCCTCGCGGATGTTGAGGGATTTGGCGAAAGTGTCCCGCCGATTTCGGTCGCACGCTGGGTTCCCGGGTTCCCGGTTCTGGGTTCCTGGGGTCCCCGTTCCGGTTTCCGGGCTGATTTCGGAGGGCGGCGAGGTTCCAGGGTTTTCGGGTTCCTGGTAGATTTTCTTATCGATCGGTCTCACCATCGATGTCATTACCGACTTCTCGATCGACCTCACCATCGATCTCACCATCGATCTCACAATCGATCTCACAAGCGATCTCACTAGAGATCGCATGAGCGATCTCGCGATCGATCTCACTATCGATCTCATTGAATCGTTTTCACTCTCGGTCTCACGATCGACCTTACAATCGTCCTCACTACCGATTCCACTATGGATTGCGTCATCGATCTCACAATCGATCTCGTTCTCACAATCGATCTCAAGATCCATAGTATCAACTTTCAAAGCATCCACTGATTGAGGACTTCTCAGTTGTAATATCGTTCCGTAGGTCTGGCCTAATGCTGCACCGCTGATCTATCATCGCCGATCCCGGGTCGATCTGGCCCCCACGGGGCAGGAGCTTCCCTGGCGTGCTGCCTCCGAGGAGGAGGAGGAGGCGGAGGAGTGCCCGACCCTTCCTGTTCCCCCCCCCTCTCAGGAGTACGTCCGCCTCATGTTCCCCATCCGGCCCATGCCAGACTCGAAGAACATGGTCGAGGCGGATTGCTTCAAGTCCAAGGTGTACGTCCAGGCTGCTCGTCCGCTTCTCGTCGTCATCGCCGTCGTCAGCGTCCTGGCCATCGTCGTCTCAGTCGTCGCCGTTTCGGGCTCCTCGTCCGGAGGGCGTGCCCCCCTTCGTCGTCATCTCCGCCCCAGGCCTCAGCTGCGCGACCTTCGTCTCCAGACTTATGGCAACTCGCAGACGCCGCGCGAGCGCTGCTGCTCTCGAGCGTCCGACGTGGGAGGAGCACTTCGGGCCCGATGACGGTCAAGAACGGCCCGAGGCGGAACACCTGTGCCGAGGAAGGGGTCGAGGGCTCCAGGGGCCAGCGGATACCATCATAGGCTAAGGTCAGCGTCCTCGGCCGATTTGCCGAGAAGGCCTCCCCCCCCCCCTGATCTCGGCGGGCGGACGCTCGTTTTTGAGCATTGTGCTCGACCCCTGCGTTCGCCTGGAGCCGCATTCATGCACGCATCAGCTCGTTCCCTACGGTGGAGGCGTTTGTTCAGGAATAGTCCCAGGAGGCGCCAGACCCAGGAGGATTCTTTATCCAGTGAGGGCGACGGTGACACCCATGGCCAATCCACGAATGGCTTTCCACTGGCTTCCAGACACTGGATTCCTTCTCCGAGGTCTCCTTAGCCAATGCCCCCGACGTAGCTCGTCCCCTGTCTCACGCACTCCTTCCCTCAATCTTGGGCAGGCTTGCTGGACCCAGGAAGCTTGCGCGCGCGGGGGGGCAGGGGGAGGGGTGCGGGGGAGGGCCCCTGCGTTCGCCTGGAGCCGCGTTCATGCGCGCATCAGCTCCTTCCCCCTCTCACGCACTCCTCCCTTCAATCCTGGGCAGGCCCTGCGGGACCCCTGGAAGCTTGCGCGCGCGCGGGGGGGGCCGGGGGGGGCGCCCGCGCGGGGCCTGGGACGCCCGCGCGCACCTCCCGATGGCGGTTGTCACGGCTGTGTCGTGCGCTGCTCCTCCGCGGCCGCCCCTCGGCTACCCCCGGGGCCGCTGCTGGTGTGTGCCACCTGCGCTGCAGGGCGTCCCCGCGGAGGCTCCGACCTGCGCTGCAAGTGCCGTTTTTTTGCTGCTCTGCTCCCTCCCAGGGGCCTCAAGGGGGATTCAGTGGGGGCGATCGGGCAGGCTCGATCGGGGCCATCGGAGGGAAACATCTTTGGGGCCTTCCCCGTGAGATCTCACATCGGCGTTTGGTTTTGCAACGTCGATGGGATATATTATCCAGGGGAGGGACTCCAACGTGCGCAATTGTGAGTACCGCAGTGGTTCGCATCCTCTTCGTTGGGGCTACCTATGGGGCCACGAAGCGCTGTACTGGGTGGCGCGGACGCATGTGATCACAGCCACTGGGGCCACGAAACGCCCTACCCTACTGGGTGGCGCGGGACGCTTGTGGTCACAGCCACTGGGGCCTTGGGTGGAGCTCCCTATTGGGCTTCGAAGCGCCGTACTGGGTGGCGCGGGGCGCATGTGGTCACAGCCACGGGGGCCTTCGGTGGAGCTGCTGATCGGGCCACAAGACGCCGAAATGGATGGCGCGGACCGCATGTGGTAACATCAATTTGAGCCTCCGGTGGAGCTCCCTATGGGGCCACGAAGCGCCGTACTGGGTGGCGCGGGACGCATGTGGTCACAGCCACGGGGGCCTTGGGGTGGAGGCCTTGAGGCGCCGTACTGGTTGGCGCGGGACGCATATGGCCACAGCCACTTGGGCCTCGGGTGGAGCTCCTTCTGAGGCCACGGAGCGCCGCACTGTGTGGTGCGGGGCGCATGTGGTCACGGCCACTGGGGCGCTGGTGGAGATCCGTATCTGGCCACACTGTGTGGCGCGGGACGCATGGGGTCACAGCCACTGAGGCCGTCGGGGGGTCTGCTGATGAGGCCACGAAGCGCCGTACTGTGTGGCGCGGGCCCCATGCGGTCACAGCCGCTGGGGCCTTCGGTGGAGCTCCCTATGGGGCCACGAAGCGCCGTACTGTGTGGCGCGTGACGCATGTGGTCACAGCCGCTGGGGCCTTCGGTGGAGCTCCACGAGGGGGCACGACGCGCTGCAGTGTGTGGCGCGGGACGCATGTTGTCACAGCCACGGGTGCCTCAGGTGGAGCTTCCATGCGGCCACGAAGCATGTGAGGGTGTGCCGAAATGGTTGCTGTGTGCGGAGGGCAGAGGCAGGGATGGGAGTAGGGAGGAGGAGGAGGGGGAAGGAGTGAGGCACGCGGGGCGCTGTCTCTTCAAAGCAAGGACCCGAAACCACAGGATGGTTGGGAATCAAGGGTTCCAAACAGAAGCTCAGTGATCGTTTACAGACATGTACGACTTTCAATGGACCCCGCTCGATGGTATGATTCAGTAGACTACATACAGCACGACAACACGCGTAACACCGATACATGTGTAGACGCGTCTACGTGAAATGCGTTGATGTGTGTTTGAATTCGATTTACGCGCGAGCATGCTGCTATACCTTATCACCAGCTGAGTACTGGTATGTTTTGCAGGAGGAGCGGGAGGACAAGGGAGATGAGGAGGAGGAGGAGGAGGAAGAGGGGAAGCAGGAGAAAATGCAGAAGGAGCAGGAGCAGGCGGAGGAGGTCGACGTCGGTGCCGATATAAATGCCGATGTGAAGAAGGACGAACGTTTGTTTGCTGTCCGTTCTAGGAATTCCTGCGGGGCCTTCGTCACCGCGGTTTCACCCTCCCCCGGGTCCTGAAAAGAACGCGTTCCCAGTGAGGCATGGGTGTGGGGAGGGCGCGTGGCTTTTGAATCGCGGTGCTGCAGATGTTCCAGGATCTCTGGATCTTCAAGAGTGTTGAGGGATGACCTGATAGAGCTCAGATTTTCCGGGACTTCTCCGCCCGCGCACCAGACGTGCATGAGATTTGTGGGGGGCGTCCGCGAGTTCCGGCGCATGCTCAAGATATTTCTGAGAGATTTCTTTTTGTAGATGTCATTAAGTTGCTCGGTGCCCGTTTCAGAAGACGTGTTGTGTTCTTGATGTCTTATTTTCGAGATGTCCTGTGCCCGGGAGATTCCCGCGAGATATTCGGTAGATTTCCAGGAGATTGGTTTGATTGTGTGTTGGAGATGGTTTTGATCGTTTGTTGATATGTTTGTGATTTGTTTTGGGGGCTTTTGTGTCGGGAGAAATGATGTAGTTACGTTGTATCCATGTGGGTTGTGGCTGCACCCTTTTCGGGTTGTCATGTTTGGGACATGTTCGGTTGTTCGAAGATATGCAGGAGGTATTTTGACGAGCTTGTTTTCTATATATCTTCCATGCCCGGAAGCGTCTGGGAGATTATAAAGCCAGTGGCCGGGATATTCCCGGGATGTCTGGTCTCTGCCCAGGGAATCCCGGGGAGATGTTCTAATAGTTGTCTCTGGCATCTCGGGCGCGGAATGTTTTGGACGAGCTGTGTTAAGGATCCGGGCGACGGCTTTGAGAATCTTGGGCGAAATGTTCTAAGGATTCGCGCGACATCTCGGGCGCGAGTATTTTGAGGACTCGGGCGGCATGTTCTGGAGATCTCCAGAGACGTCCACGGGCGGCGCGGCGAGCGCCCTCCGCAGGGTGCCCGCCCGCAGGGCGCCCCCCGCAGGTTGCCCCGCTGGTAGGGCTCCTCCGATAGGCGGCTCCCCACAGGCAGCCCCCCATGGAGCCTGCCCCCGCGGGTTGCTTCCACAGGTCGCCCCCCCATAGGCCCCCATCGGTTGCCCACATCAAATGCCCCCCTCGAGGTTAGGTTGGTGTGTGTGTGTGTGCGCGTGTGTGTGTGTATATGTGTGTTCGAGAGAGAGAGAGAGAGAGAGAGAGAGAGGAGTCCTCTTTTGAGGTCGTCGAGCCGTCTGAGGATCTTCAGGCCGTCTTGGGGGCCTCCTGGGGGCGGCGCGTATCGCGTGGAGAACCTGCTCGGCCCTCACTGATGCCTCCGGGGCGCCTGTCGGGCTGGGGTGCGCATTCGGACCTGACCTGGCCCAGTTTCTTGAGCACGTTCGCCCCTCCAGCTTTAACGACAGGAATTGGCCCAGGCATGTTTTAAGAAACTTCTTGGGAAGCTGACCCAGATTTCTATCACGATCATTTTCTGAATCGCACTTTCGGCTGTAATTTGGTGGGGGTCTCGAGGGGGAGGGTCGCCCCCGGGAGGTCTCGACCCATTCTTCTGGACCAATTTTCCATCCTGATTCGTTTTTTGACGGTCCCGACGGCCGGTAAGGGAACCCTGGAGGCCGAACATAGCAAAACACCTCCCGTCATGATTTTTTCATTGCCCGATCGGGGGGTCTCGGGATGGGGGTCGGTTGAACGATCCTGCGATCCACGGGCGGACCAATCTTCCACACTCGACCCAGCTGGGGCGGGCCGCCCCTCCTTCCCCCACCCGACCGCCACGCCGACGACGACGACTCCAACGGCGTCGGCGGCGACGGCGACGGCGACGACGACGACGACGGCGCTGACGGCGGCGGCGGGGACGTCTGGCGGCACCACGTCGGCTGGTGGCCCTGGGCGTCGGCGGCGGCGGCCGCCACGGCCCAGACGAGCGGGGGGCGGGCCCCCTGCCCGGGTAGCAAATCGTTGGAGCCTGGAGTGGCCTCTTAACTCCGTCTTTAGCGTCAGCTGGCGTCGATGAGCGTCTGGGAGTGATGAGATAGCGCCCGAGTCGCGTCGGTGAGCGTCGATTGGCGCCGGTCTAGCGTCGATTCGTGCCGACGTCGCGTCCGCTGGCGTCGATTCGACAGCGCCGACAAGATGGTAGGGGAGGCTCCCATGAGTTGCCACCGGAGATGCCGGCCGGCCTCGAGTGGGAGGGCACCTGCGGGGGGCCCGGGGGCCGGAGGGCCAGGCGCCCGTGCACTTCGGGGGCGCGGACGGCGAGGGCGCCATGTACGCCAGGGCCTCGGAGGGTGCTGGCCCGCCCGATCGGCGGCTCGCGGATCGAGGGTCCGACGGGGAAGGGATACCGGTGATCTTGTCTGTTGATCCTATGGCGCGCAGCGGTCGTTACGCCGCGGGCAGCCCCCCCTCCCCCCCACCGGTGCGGCGGTTGGATCCTCTTCGAAGGTCTGCTCAGGACGTACCCGGGCAGAGGTCCAGGGAGCAGCGACATCGGTACCCAGCTGTTCCCCCAGACTCGAGGATCGATCAGGGGCATAATTATGGGGTGATCGGGTCAGGGGGGGATGCGTCGACCCCCCATCGCTCATTAATCGCCGATCTGTCGGCGAGTCGTCGATGTATCGCCGCGTCCAGCTCGATGCTTCGGGCTGAGAACAGAGGTTGGGGCCAGCTCTTCCGCTCCTCCAGCCCGGGGCATCTCTCCTCCAGCTCTCCGAACTCTGCCAACGCCATCCCAACTGCGTCGGGCTCGCTTCGGTGCCTGCCGGTCTTACCTCCATTCATTGCGATATACGGCGGGGGCGTTGGTTAAGGAATGTGCCCAGAAGGTTTCAGATCCTGGGGGCTCCCTTACTAAGAAGGGCGGCGGTGATATGCATAGCCAATCCACGATCGAAGTCCCACTGGCTTCCAGACCCCGGATTCCTCATCCATTGGTTCCTTATCCAATGCCCTCACCGTAGCCAAAACGCTGGAATGAGGACTGTGATCGGCTCGGGCGAGGCCCGTGTGTCGGGGGGCCGTTTCCTCGGACCCATGCCGCGGGACCTGTCTTTTGTGGCGTGAGCCCGCCGTGGCAAGGAATGGCCCCCTCCGTTCCGCAGCATGCGTGTGTTCCCCATGGTGCCCGCCGGCCAATCCGCTAGTGAGTGCCCCCTTCTGGCTTCTGGCTTGGTTCGGAGATCGCCGTCTTGCCGCCAACGGAAAAAGTGTTCCCGATGGTCGCACGGTGACTGCAGGCACTTCCACGCAGCTCCCAATGCGGTGGGGGTTCTGTAAGGAATGCGCCCAGGAGGCTGGAGACCCTGATGGATTCCCTCATCTGATGAGGGCGGCGATGATGTCCATGACGCAGCCTCAATTTGTGTTCCCCTGGCTGTCTGACCCTGCATTCCTTATCGAAGGGCTCCTTCTCCAATACCCCCACCGTGCCCTTTTTGTTCTCGCTTCTCTGTAGAGGATCTGGCCCGGGATGTGTCTTTTTCCTCCTTGGCGTCTGGGGGGTGCTTCTGGCCGCCTCGGCTGCATGCTCAGCGGGGCCCGGCCTCGACAGATCTCTGAGGCCCGACATTCACGGGGGTGGCCTGGACAGCACTGGCGCAACCAAACCAGAAAAGATACGAGCATTCTACGGGCAGGGCTCGGAGCGGGCTCCATCGTGCCCAAAGCCTCCAAGGGCGCTTTCGGAACGCGTCCCGGAGCGCTCTGGAACGGCTGCAGCGCCCGGTGCATTCTCCAGAGCCGCCGGACCTCAGAGCTCCCCGATCGGTGTCTCACTCCGCTGCTGTCCCAGTCCTGGCTTCGTGTTGGCTGTTACGAGTCCCAACGTGCCGCAGGCACGGTGTGGCGGACGGTCGGTGCCCTCCCCTCGACCGGCACTCTCCGCGCCTTCTGCGCGGCAGGTGCCGCGCAGCCGCGGCCGCCGCCGCGGCCGCAGACGCGACCACCGTCGAGGCCGCAGCGGCGGCAGCCGTGACTGCACCGCGGCGGTACTTCCCTCGCGGAAGGCGCGGAAGGTGCATGCCGGGGGTCCGTCCTGAGGTTTACGATGATCCAACTTACTTTCGCCCGAATCACCAACAAGAATGTCGAGCACCAAGACATTAACAGAAACTCCAGGGTTTTCACGTGTCGGGCCCTAGGAGACACTCTTTCGACACTGTTTCGACATTGTTTCGACACTTCCCTGGGTGCTCGAAATTATTTCTGGGATGTGGTCTTCAAGTACTATGGGAGCAACTTGGCCCGAGGTCCGGATCGGGATCGCGTACGTCCCCGACGTTAGCCACTGGGACGACACGAAGAATGTCGACCGCGTTGGCCTGACCGACCCTGTCAAGATCACGTGGCGGCCAGCCCCGAAGATCTACCAGGACGGGCCCCGCAGCTCCCCCCGCGCGCTGCTGCGGCACCTCAGCGGAAAGGTTTTTCTCGATGCCCGTTTTGGGGACCTTCTTGTGATGGGCGGGGGGAGAGGGGAGGAGGAGGGGGAGGAGGAGGAGGCGGAGGAGGAGGAGGAGGAGAAGGAGGAGGCGGAGGAGGAGGAGGAGGAGGGAGGAGGAGGAGGGTGGAGGAGGAGGAGGAGGAGGAGGAGGAGGAGGTGGAGGCGGAGGAGGAGGAGCCCCTCCCCTTCCAACTTAATCCAGAAGCCCTTATAATGAGGACGATCGAGGTCGTTTCAAAGCAGTCCCCGGGGACTGCTTTGAAGAATGGCAACGTTCAAAGTAGTCCCCTGGGACTTCTTTGAACGATGCGGATTTGTGGCCAGAAGAGTGCAGGGAGGAACAGGAGGAGGAGGAGGAGGAGGAGGAGAAGGTGGAGAGGGCTGTTGCAAGGTGCGCCGATGGCTCCTGTCCGTCGCCACGCTGTGCCCAGGGGGGGAAGAGGTGGAGGAGAAGGAGGAGGGGGAGGGGTTCGAGGAAGGATCGGCGAGGTTTTTCTCATCAGTTTCGGCCTCTGGAGGCCCAGCGGGACAACAAAGCCGCAGTTGCGGCGATCCAGAGTAATTCTTTCAAAATCGAAGATTCCCCTCTGCCCCTCTGCCTTCAGGGGTGTTTGCATATATATATATATATATATATGTTTGTATGTATGCCTGTCTGTCTGTCTGTCTGTCTGTCTGTCTGTCTGTCTGTATGTATGTATGTATGTATGTATGTATGTAAACATATATGTATATGCATATATATAGATGTGTATATATATATATATATATATATTGGTATATATGGTTGTGTTTGTCGTCGCCGTCGCCGCCGTCGTCGCCGTCGCCGCCGTCGTCGCCGTCCTTCCAGGGCGCCCCCCCGCTTCGAGTAGCGGTCACGGGGGGGCATCCTGGAGGGGCGCGTTCTGTCTCCCTCCCTGGGTTCTGGGGCGCCCCCCCCCCGCCGCGGGAAGCGGTCACGGGGGGGGCGCTCTGGTGGGGCGCGTTCTGACCACCTCCCCTGGGCCCTGGCCCCCCCCCCGCCGCGAGGAAACGGTCACGGGGGGGGCGCCCTGGAAAGGTGAGCTCTCGACCCCTCCCCGATCCTCCTCACTGTATTCTCCCTCCCGCCCTCCTCCTCCAGTGCCGTTCGGCTCAAGCAGTGCCGTTCGGCTCAAACCAGCGCCGACGTCGGCGGTGGCACGGGCTCGCGCCTGTGCAGGATGGCCAATCAACGAATGGAAGTGTTCAGCGGCAGCCCAGGAGTTAGGACAGGAGCCTGCTCTTGCAGGCGCAGTCTTGTTGTGTCTTTGGGCGCGCCACAAGTCCGCAGTTGCGGAAGCGAAAGTGGACGTGCTCCAAGACGCCGACACGGGCAAGCGCACCGTCCAGGCAACCGCCGCACACGAGGCACACTCCATCGAGTTGTGGCCATGCGCCCCAAAGGCGTCCAAGCTGCTGTCCACGAGCGCGCGCCCCGAGAGGGTGCCAGTGCAGGTCTGGGTCAAAGGAGGACCAGATGCGCCTTCAATCGAGACCTTCTACCTGCTGCCAGAGTTCAAGCCCCCTGCGGACGAGACGCCCGCCGGGGTGGCAGACCACGATGTGCGGTTGAGAACGTGGAACTGGGATGCTCAAGAGACAATGCACCTCTTCTGGGCCGCCAACAGTCACGCAGCAAGAGCTCCACCAGAGGAATGGTCGTATTGGAAGCGCAGTTGCGCGTATCAACATGGAGCTCCAGGATAAAGAGCTGGCCGCGTGTGTTCCAGGACCAAGCGGGCTAGTGATCGCCGCGAAGCTGCCCGCGCTGGCGAATACTACGGACATCAGGCCAGGAGAAGAACTCCTTTGGGAGGCGAGGCCCAAAGCCGCACATAAGAAGAAGGCGGTCGAGGAGACGTGGAGGACGGATGCGAACAGAAGGGCAAAGGGCAAGGCTTCGGGGCAGCCGCCGTCGAAGAAGACGAGGAGTGGCTTCGACGATAAAGGCAAGATGTCGCCCTAAGAAACCGCAGTGGCGGTTGCTCTACGAATTCGCTCATTGATTCGGTGGTTTTCCGAAACCGCAGTGGCGGGTGTTCAGGCGCCACTCGCTGCTGAATCATATCGCTTGCGACCGCAGTGGCAGAGTGCTGCAGTAGTGGCTCGTTTGGTTAAGGAGGCCGTTAAGTGTCGCCGCAGTCGCGGGTTGCTGACGTCCACGTACGGAGGTACGACCGAAGCTCTGAGTCCCATGTGGAAAACGCGTTTGCCCTCACTGCTGTCGCGCCTCTTCCGGGGAGCACGTGAGCGCCCTCCTCGCGCTATCTGGGCGCCTCCCTCCGCCCCGTTCCGCTCCCCACCCCCCTTGCGCGGGAACAGCCAGCAGCTCATCGGGCCGCGCTGCCGCCCGAAACACCCCCCCGGGTGCAAACGTTCAAAGCAGCCCCCCGGGACTGCTTTGAACGCTCTCGCGAAGGAGGGCCTCGGGGGGGCGCGCGCAGACGGAAGGGCGGCACATGCGCGGATGGGGGCGTGACAAACGATGCAGGGTCTCCCCGCAGATTCAGTCCAGGCGCCGTCTGGCTCAAAGCGCACCCCTCTCGGACGCGACCTCGCTGCCCGCGCGGCCCTGGTTTCCCGCTGTTGCGGTAGGGTCATCCGCAGTAAGCGGACATGGGTTCTTCGAGCGAATGGAATGGCCTTGTGCATCCACGGGGGGCGGCTTCCGCAGACAACCCCCCTCCCCGAGAAGGACGTCAGAGTGCTTGACGCAGGGCCCCTTGGGCCAATCACGTTCGTGCACGTGAACACGCAGAAGAAATGGTTGCTGAAGGTGTGCGCGAGGGGTAAACCAACGGCAGGAGCGTTGAAGGCTTCCAAGGTCTGGCAGGACCTCAAGGACACACTGGCGAAACAGAAAGGCGCCGCAGTTGCGGACGAGGAGAGCGACGATGAGAGAGATGGTGAAGATGACCCAATGATGGCCTTGGTCAGTGCTTCGGGCGCCGCGAAGAGGCAGGCCGCGACTGTGACGCCCACCAAGAAGCAGAGGACGGGAGAGCGTAGCTCCCACCAGGCCTCGAAGACTGGCCTGCCAAGAGGCGAGGCTGCGGACAGACGCGCGTCCGCTGTGCACTGCGTGCACATGCCCGCCAGGAGCCAGTTGAAGTTTCCAGACGACATGGACGTTCGCCACGTTGGGGTGGCCAGCTTCATGCGGCGGACGCTGTGGCTCGACGCTAAAGACTTTGAGTGGTTGATTTTGACGATCATGGACGACGTGAGCCTCGGCGGGGTGCCCGACATCACGGGCGGCGATAAGGGCGAAGCCGCAGTCACGGACGGCGATAAGGACGAAGCCGCAGTCGCGGACGAGCCCCCCGTGGCGCAGGGAAGCGGGGCTGGCTACGCCGTCGCATGGAACTTCAAAGGCGCTTGGGTGGCCACCATCACGCGCGAGTGCGCCAACCGCGGCAAGACGATCGAGATGGAGGCGAAGTAATTGACCAAGAAGAAATGGGAGACAGCGAGGGATGCGAAGGCGTACGACTACGACTGGGTCAGAATCACGGACGAGCAAAGGAAGCAGGCGGCCCTGGACTACCTCGACGTCGTCGTCCCGTCTCTCCTGCTCTGAGCTCGAAACCGAACTGGCCGCAGTTGCGGCGACGCCGCATTTGCGGGGCTGAACGGGGGCGCGGGCACTGAGGCAATGAGCGCCGCAGTTGCGGGGTTGAGGGGGCTTTTCGAGGGCCAGAAGTCGCTTGTTTTTTTTTTTTAAGGGGTTGGGGTGTTTCACGAGAAAACACCCCCGTGCGCTTGCTGGGTGCACGCAGACGCAGAGCTTCGTAGGGACGCATAGAAACCTTGTGCGCGAGATGAGTGGGGCTTCCGCGCGAGCGGTGTTCAACGCATGTATGTGTCTTCCCCTGCACCTTTCCTTTGCCCCCTTCCTTCCTTCCCCCTCCTCCTAATTGCCCTTGCCATTTCTTCTCCTTTCCCACCCATTCCCGCCCTTCACTGTCATGCCCGCGGCCGCGTGCCAGGCCCGAGCCGCTCGGCACGCGGACGCCCATGGACGTCCCGGTGGACCAAACATGGTACGGCCACGAGGGCGGCGAGCACTTCGAGGTGGAGTGGCCTTGTTACGACAGCGGCGCGCCACCGTGGAAGACTAAGTACGGCACCGCGGGGGTCGCGACCATGCTGAGCCGCAGTTGCGGCGCTGGGATGATAATCGCGCCGCAGTTGCGGACAATGTCACGGAGGGTCCGCCCCCTAATCGCATGTGGGCGGGCATGCCCGACCAGACGCAGAACGCGGGCCACGCGGGGCCGTGGGACGACCGCGCTCCCTGGACCTACGAAGCGACACGTTGGTAATGGCCGCAGTTGCGGGCAAGTGCAGCAGAAGGCTTGTGGCCGCAGTTGCGGGCAATGCAGCAGAAGGTTTGTGGCCGCAGTTGCGGACAGCGCTTCGCCGAGACAAGTTGGCACATCATCATCGACGTCATCACCATCTTCCTCATCGATCGCCATCACCATCATCATCCTGCAGCTGCTGCCCCCCATGTCGCCTTGCGAGGTAAGCGTTCAAAGCAGTCCCAGGGGACTGCTTTGAAGACTGCCTTGTAGCGTTCAAAGCAGTCCCAGGGGACTGCTTTGAAACGACCTCTCGTCCTCATTATAAGGGCTTCTGGATTATGGTCGTGGTGGTGGAGAACAGGCCCACCATTATGGGGCCCACCTTACGGACCTGTCCGACTCATGTTCGACTCAAGTTCGATTCAAGTTCGGCTCGGATTCGGCTCAGGTTCGGCTCAGGTTCGGCTCAGGTTCGAGGCGCGTTCGACTCAGGTTCGACTCGGGTTCGACGCAGCTTCGACGCACGAGTAGAGCGAGGGGCTCCAGGAAGGTCCCCAGAATGAACATCTAAGTTTTTCGGGATACTTTTCAGAGAAGGAAGAGATCCGAAGAAGGAAAGAACACATAAACATAGACTTTTGGCGCTCGGCGCGGATTTCTTGGATCCGCGCCTGGGCCCCCTGGCGGCGCCTCCGGCGCCGCACCTGGCGCGCTCCGCGCGCCAGGGACGGGGGTCTGGCGCGGATCCAAGGAATTCGCGCGGAGATCCAAAAGTTTATGTTCATGGATTGATTCATTTTCTAAAGATACCCATAGCGCTACCCCTTCGGCCGATTTCCCCCTTTTGCGCCTCCAGGGCGGCCGTCGTCTCCACCGCTGGATCCGCCACGAAGTCCTTACCAGAACGCACCCCAGGAGAGGTCCGGGGAGCAGCGGTATCGGTACTTTGTGGAGTTCCCAACTTTGGGCTTCTGGTCGGGCAGACAAGAACTAACCGCAATTGCACGATGGAGACGTGGCCTCAGTGAGGCTCCCGTCTTCGCATCAGGGATGATGTTGGGCGGCTTGGCGCGATACGCCTGCAGAAACAGACTCTCCATCCCTGGTGCCTTTGGCCCTCCTAGGTTAGGTCCCCTCCCAAAGGGTTTGGCTCGGTACGTCTGCAGAAACGAACCCTCGATCCCCAGTGCTCTGGCCCTCCTCAGTGAGGTCCCCGCCCAAAAGGGTTAGGGGTCCTTGCATTAGAACCAAAGGGGTCTCAGGGACACGCCGCCGCTGGGCTCCCGACAGCGTGCGGCTCCTCTGCTCTCGTCCGCAGGAAGCTCCAGGGGTGCCTTCCTGCAGCGTGCCGATGCGCGCCGTCGGCATCGGCACATTTCCTCTCTCTCGTTTGGCTTCCCCCTCCGCGTGGCCCTTGCTGGATCCCGGGAGATTGTTTTTGTGGTCCAGCGATAAACCCGGGTTATCGGGCTTGCCTGCCCCCCGTCCCCCCCCCAGGATGACCTAACCTTGCCGCTTGTGCAGGTCCGGGGTGGGGGGGGGGGGGGGGCGCGGGCACATGCAGGGCTGCCCACAGCGCGAAGGTTCGGTCATCGGCCGGCCCCCCCCCTCCCCCCCCCTCTCGGATAACCTGGGTTATCGCGGATTCATAGAAAACTGTCTCCAGAGCCGTCGAAGACGGCTCCAATGATGACGCGTCGGCCCCGGGCAAAGGGGGCCCCTGCGTCCAGGAGTGCACGCCGTGCGCAGAGCGCTGCTGGGAAGTGGGGGGGGGATGGAAGCCCCAAAACCCCGAACAGATGGGGAGCATGTGGGGGAAGGAGGAGGAGAGGGAGGAGGAGGAGGAGGAGGAGGAGGAGGAGGAGGAGGAGGAGGAGGAGGAGGAGGAGGAGGAGGAGAGGATACGGAGGAGGAGGAGGAGAGGATAAGGAGGAGGAGGAGGAGGAGGAGGAGGAATGGGAGGAGGAGCTCCTCGTCCTCCCTTCTCCCCGGTGGTCGCCTGTGTCTGTTTCTTTTCGTGTGCCCCAGGGCCCCTCCGTGCTGGTGCGCGAGGGTCCGGGCAGGCCTGCGCGTCCCGAGCGGCGCGCCCCCCTCTCGCGCCGCGAAGAGGCAGGCTCGCCAGGGGCCGCGCCTCCCCCGCGGCAGGAGCTGAAGGACTTCGAGAACCACACCAGCGGCGGCGTGCACCTGGAGCACCGCCTGATGACCTCGCAGGACCCGCGGGGGAGGAGGGCACGAAGATCGGGACAGAATCGGATCGGGATAACTCGAAATCTCTGAGAATCGGCGGGTTTCGAGGATGTATTGGGCGCCGCGGCCGCTCCAGAGAGTTCCGGAACGCTCTGAGAGCGCTCCGGAACGCTCTCGGGCGATTTATCCTGACCCTAGCCCTGTTTTATGAGGAGGTTTGGGGGCAGAGGATCGGGACCTCGCAAAGTGGGGGGGGGGGCGCAGGGAGGGGGGGGGGGGGGAGTTCGGTCCGTTGGCGCAGCGGCGCAGCGAGCCGCAGAAAAACTTGGCAAAACGAGGTCTCCGGCCGCCGCCAGAACCCGAGAGGCGTCGACAATCGGGGCGCGCGGGGGGCTTCGCTTTTCTCGGAAATTCGATGCATCAGCGGATCGAACTCACCCCTCCCCTCAGGGTCCCCCCCCTTTGGTGGGCCCCGAGAGGAGGAGGCGAGGAGAGCGTAAGAGGGCTGAGTCGGGTTCCGCTCCCCAGATGCTGCTCCTGTCCCTTGCGGAGCCAAGCCAGAGGAGCATCGATGGCGAGGAGTTGGCACGCATGCTGCTGCCACCACTGCCACCCTGCTCGACTTGGGCTGGAGGCCCTGTCGACCGTTGCCCTTGGAAATGGGCGGTCTGTGCGCGATTTCGGAGGCTAGGCTCTGGCGCGGCAAGGTTATCCTCGCGGATCTGTACCCACCCCTTGCCCAGAGTAAAGAACGACAATGTTGGACCACTGCGGTTCTAACTCGTGGAATGGGTCGGGGCTCGAGCAGGTTCCAGACCTTTCCCATATCCGCAGACAGTGTCAGGCCCTCGAGTGGAAGGGAGGGTTCGAGTGGCGAGACTGGCAGGCTGTGGCCAGTGGGAGCAGTTGTCCACGCGCGCGGCGCCAGGATTTCGAACTTACCCAGCACAGCTCGTGTAGAAGGTGTGGTTCATCACGCTGTTGAGTGTGATATGCACGGAGCCTGGAGCCCTTCTGAGATCAGCAGTTTCGCTTCAAACCTCGCTCGTCGAAGAGCCCTTGCTGATGGGGGGAGGAAGCTGATTTGGGGAGTAATCCTAGCTTTTGCTGCGTGGGCCGACGCCCAGCAGCTGCACCGCCGGACGCCGAAGCTAAACCCGCGTGTACGGAAAACAAATCTCCCGTGTCGTGGTTGATGGTTTTGTTTTCGGCGGAGGCGGCGCTAGTGAGCCGCTAGTGGGATGCCTGACTCTCAAGACCCTGCCCTCCTTAGAGCTGGTTGGCTTTATGATGTTCCAACCTACCTTAGCCTTGATCACCAAAAAGAATTTCGAGCACCCAGAAAGTACCGAAAATGAAAGGTTTTCGCGTGTCGGGCCCTGGGAAGCGACACTCGTTGGACACTGTTTCAAAACTATTCGGGATGCTGGAAATTATTTCTGGGATGTGGTCCTGAAGCACGATGGGAACAACATAAGTGTGGCTCTGGGTTGGGCTCAAAGGCCTCTGGCCTGGAGGGAGCCACGGCCCTGTGGACGGCTTCTTGCCCACGCCCTATCCGTGTTTCGGTGTTGTGCCGGGGCGGCGCCAGGCAGCCACAGAGGGGGCAGCCTTGAGTTGTTTGCGCGGTGTCTTAAGATTTGTCTCCCTGTTGCCAACTCGTGTTCTGCTCGCGGCAGGTTCACCACGCTGTGGGGGCGCCCACCAAGACACCATCTGCTCTTCGTTCGGGCATCCTGAGTGTCTTCGCTCCTCGCGCTGCGCGGTGGCTCCCCCCAGCCGTTGAAGGAGCGGCTGCGTTCAGGGTGCTCCAGGTTCCAGGCTTCCCCTCAGGTGCACCTCGCGGCGCTGGCGCCGCGGCGTACCGCGCAGCTCCCCAAGGTGCCCGACTGAGTCGGGCGCCTCTTCGGGGCGCTTGCGGTAGCGCTTGTCGCCCGACCCTGCTCGTCACAAAGCACCTCGCGCACGGGCTCTCAGGGTTGGGCTTCTTGCGAGGGCTTCCTGCGGCCGCGCCCGCACTGTACGTCGCCGCGCCGTCTGCTCCGACGCGCGGCCTCCCGTCGTTGCAGGGCGCCTCGGCCGCGGGTGCGCCTCGGCCACCGGTGCGCCTGCCCTTGGTCTGCCGCGGTGCTGGCGTCGTCTGCCTGGGCGCGGGACGCAAGGTGTGCCGTGGGTTTGCCGTGGTCGTCCCACTTGGGCGCGTTGAGGACAAGCGGCGCGGCGACACATATCGTGAGACACTTCCCATAAGATCCAGACTGGGATCCACCCGACATCCCACTCAGATGCGTGGTGTGCCGTTCGATGTCTCTTGGAATGCATTCCATGCGTGGCGTTGTCCGATCCAAGGTTGCGAGTCATAGGCAGGCACCCGTCATACTCCTCCCCCTACCCCTCGCCTGCATCCCACATTCTCCTTTCCTCCTCCGTTCTCCATCGCCCCTCCTCCCCACTCCGTCCTGTCCTTCCTCGTCTTCCCCCCTCTTCGCCCCCCTCCACCGCCGACGACGACGACAAAGTGCACGACGGCGACGCGACAATCATGAGGACGCAGACGACGACGACGACTACGAGGACGACGACGACGACGAGGACGACCACGACCACGACCATGACGACGACGCGACGTCAGCTAGATGGCGACGACTGCGCGACCGCAACCGCAACGAACGCGACGACGGCCTTTCGCTGGCCTCTCGCCACGGCGGCGCGACGCCCCGCGGCGACGCCCCGCGGCGGCGGCCGGCGGCCACCACCCCCGCGCGAGGAGAAGAGCCAGGAGCAGCGCGCCCGCAACGCATTCACGCCGCCCGTGGCTCCGGCGCACGCGCACGAGGCCCCCGGCCACAAGGCGCGCGCCCGCGAGCGGCGTCGTCGTAGTCGTCGTCGTCGTCGTCGTCGTCGTCGTCGTCGTCGTCGTCGTCGTCGTCGTCGTCGTCGTCGTCGTCGTCGTCGTTGCCGCGGCCCGCGGCCACGAGGCGCGCGCCCGCGAGCGGCCCCAGCGCGCGCCGCGAGCGGCCCGCTGCCGCGGTGGCGCCGCCCTAACGGGCACATTGGCGGCCCATGCCAAGAGTCACCCTTGGCATCGCTCGGACGTGTGCTTCTTTTCCGTCGGCGAGGACCATCGAGGAGCATCCTTGATCACTTGGCGAAAAAGCCACGCACGAAACCGAACAAAAACACATGGAATGGACGTCCGAGCGATGGCCAGCACCCTGCTGCTGCTGCTGCTGCAGACCCCGCGCGGGGCCGTAGCTGAGATCGGGGGCTCCAGATCCAAGGGAGGAAGCAGCACCCGCACCGGACACAACCGGCGTTCACTGAACGGCCCTGGGCGTTTGCGAGATAGCCCTGCCCTGTTCGATTCCCTGCTTGGGCGCGCTCACTGGACCACTTCGCGTGTCGGGGTGGTTACTCTGGGGGCGGATGTTTGGACTTCTGCAGATGCTCTGCCGGCTCTCCCAGTTCAGGCCGGCGGCGCGTTGCCCGCTGTGCGGAGCGCCCGTGGCCAGGCAGCCTGAAGTCGGGCGCGTCCCTCCACAAGGGGAAAATCCAAGGACAGTAAAAAAACAGTTTCATTCTGAACATTTTTGGACCATGTTTGTAGTATGTATGATTTTTCGTTCAAAATGGGTCTGCAGGGGGACATGCCCGACCTAAAGGTTGTTGCGGACCTGGAGGCGATGGCGGATGCTCTGCGTACAGCGGGGGCCCATGCCAAGAGGACACCCTGCTTGCCTCCAGGGTGCCCTGTGTTTCTTGGGCTTGGGTGGTTCTGCTGTGGAAAGTGTGGCGTGCCCACGTCGGAGGTCAATGGGCGTCCTGTGGCCTCAGGGTTGGGTTTCTTGTGGCAGGTTTCTTGTGGTCGGGGCCCTACTGCACACACGAAGATTAAAGAGGGCATGTCCCTCTCAGGAAAATGCACAAACAGTAAGAATACATTCTGGGGACGATTCTTCGATTGTTTTAGTTTGGAGCGTGTTTGAGCATCTCTCGACTATTATTGGTTTTTGTTCTTCGAGATAGCGCCAACGCAGCGTCGGCTAGCGTCGATTAGCGTCGATTTAGCGTCGACCCAGCGTCGATTAGCGTCGATTCAGCGTCCATTAGCGTCGACTGCGGTCGATGCGCGTCGATTCGCAGGGGCCGACAAGACGGTATGGGAGGCCCCAATGAGTTGCCACCAAAATCGAGGAGGAGGAGGAGGAGGAGGCGGAGGAGGAGGAGGAGGAGGAGGTGGGTTCGCTGGGTCACTGGTCAGAGTGCTCTCTCGTGAAGTCCCTGGTCAGCGAGGCGCTTAGAGCCGCCCTCGGCGTCGTCGTCGTCCTCGTGCTCGTTGCGGTCGATGCCGCTGCAGTCTGTGGCCGTCGTGGTCGGCGGTCGCCCTCGTGGTGGCGGTGGCCGCGGTGGTCGCGGAGGCCTCCTGCTCCTCCTCTTCCTCCTCCTCCTCCTCCTCCTCCTCCTCCTGGTCCTCCTCCTCCTCTTGTCCTCCTCCTGGTCCTCGCCGTCGTGGTCGTGGGCATCGTCGTCGTCCTCGTGCTTGTTGCAGTGGATGCCGCTGCAGTCTGTGGTCGTCGTGGTCGGCGGTCGCCCTCGTTGCGGCGGTGGCCGTCGTGGTCGCGGGGGGCGGGGAGGGGAGCAGGAGGAGCAGGGGGAGCGGAACGGAGGGTTATGTGGGCCCTGAGATCTTGGCGTTGCTGTTTTTTTCATAGCGGGGGTTTTTCGCTCAATTTCGGGCCCCGGAACCCTCATGGATCGGTCCGGCTCGAAAAATGGCATAGAAAGATGCGGTCCGGGGCTCAGGGCGTGATTTTCTGCGATGTTGCATCTGTTTGGCAACGTCGGATCTCAGGGGGGGGGGAGGAGCAGGAGGAGGAGGAGGAGGAGGAGGAGGAGGAGGAGGAGGAGGAGGAGGAGGAGGAGGAGGAGGAGGAGGGAGGGGGAAGAGGGTCAGGTCCGGGGAGGATGATCCAGTGGAGGCGGACGGGGTGGGGGGAAGGGGAAACCGCGGGAGCGGGCATGGATGAGGGAGAGGGCGAGGGAGAGGACGAGGACGAGGAGGAAGAGGATGAGGAGTATGAGCGCGATCCTCCGTCTCTGCGTCCCCCCTCCCTGACGTCCGCGGCCTCCGTCGACCCCTGGGATCAGAGCCTTCGGAGGCTTGTTGCGCTGTTGCGCACTCACCGTCTCCTCTTTCATGCTGAAGCCAGCAACTTTGGAGCCTCCAAGCCGTCTGCCTCCAGAGCCATCGGCCGGCAAAGTCGGTCACTGACGTGGCTAAAGGGAAGATGGTCCCTGATTGATCACCTCATTGCGATGTGTCTCCTCCTCCTGCTCCTCCTCCAGAGGGGAGGGGAGGACTTGCAGCGAGGAGGGGGGGTCCGTCGGAATGGTGTGGGGGGCGGTAGAGAAGGGGGGATGGAAGCAACAGGGATGGGATGGCGATAAGTGGGGCAGGGGGGGAGATCGGGGAGCGCGGGCGACGGCGGGGTGTGACTTTTTCGTCGTGGCCTGTCGTTGCCGCTTGCAGCAGCGAGTGCCGGAAACGACAAGCCACGACGTCGCGACAGTGATTCAGCATCATCGACGCTATCACCATCCCTAATGGACCATGCTATCTCAGCCCCACCAACCCGCCCTCCCAGGTGGAGGTATGCCACGCGACACGCGAAGGAGCAGGTATTATATATATTTATATATATATATATATGTTGTGTAGATGTGAGTACATGCAAATGTATATATCTATACTAATGTGTACATACTGTATATGATCACATATTCACATACACATGCATTTATATGCGTACATATGCGTGTGTGAACATACATATATGTATATACATACACACATATATATATACACACGTACAAACATTGGTATAACAATTAATGCACGTAGCTGTGGCTTATCCCCACCCAGGTGGGCAAGTCGGCCAGTGGGGCCAAGGCCACACCAGAGGGGCTAGGCATCGGCGAAACGATGCCCGGTGACAGCCGGTGCTGCCACTTCCAGTCCCGCGTAGGGGGGGGGACGGGCAGCCGGCAGCGGGCGGGCAGCCGGCGCCCGTGGGGCTGGCGGGCAGGCTGCCCAGGACGGCGCCGACTTGGAAGCTCACGGGCCCAGCCTGTCGCACGGGGCACGAGCAGATTGCCAGCCAGCCGCGGGACAGGAAGAGGAACGACGGATGCCGAAAAAGAAGCAACGGCACAAGCATGAACTTGCGGCGCTCCGCGCGGGTTTCTCGGATCCGCGCCGGGGCCACCTGGCGGCGCCTCCGGCGCTGCCCCTGGCGCGTTCCGCGCGCCAGGGAGGGGGGCCCAGCGCGGATCCAAGAAACCCGCGCGGACCGTCGGAAGTTTATTTTTATGCCGTGCTTTCCTTCTGTAGG